AAAACTTAAACTATAAGTAAAATGGAAAGCACATCACAAAAGAGCTCGTTTAAAAATTCTGGAAAAAGTGTGTCCCTTAGCTTGAATTGCTTACAGAAAGGTATGACCCTCCCCTTTAGGTGCTCACTTTTACTGATAACCTTCCCCTCTGAGGCCCCGGCCCTACCCCCTAAGAAAAAACGTACCTTTCCTTAATGTTGCAAGCCAAACATGACAAAATTGAGTTGAGTTCAAAACTACCTATCGAATTTCAGTGATCGATATGTGAGATTTTAATTGGCTAGTTTCGAATTATTTTTCGAGTAAGTCTGATTTTTAGCATCAAGTCGAGGCTGAGAGGAATAGGAGTCGTCTCAACATGGCAGGGAATGATGCCTTCTTCACAAATATGAAAGTTGCTGAGCTACGGAAATTCTTAAAGGAAAGGGGTATTCAAATTTCTGTAAATGGTAAGAGTAGGAAAAGGGCAGAACTGCTAGAGCTTTGCAAGAACGCAGCTGAAATAAAAGTTCCTAAACTTGAAAAGAAAACAGAGCAATGCGACGAGTTGATTACGTTGCCAGGAGAAAAATTACTTCCCCATCCATTTTCGCTGAAGTTTTGGACTCATGACTTCACCGGTATTTCAGACTTCAGGATTCCCGATAGCTGCCATTATCTGGTTGGAAAAGATGGTTACGATGAAGACTGTTTACGGTCGTATAAAAGTCCTGAGGGTTTTTACTTATTTATTGAGGGGTATGGGGAGGATCTGGAGGATCTGAAGTACCACGATCTAACTGATGCTGGGACAGATAAACCGACTGGATACTGCTATTTCCAGTTCATAGTCCTTTCCTTTGAAAGCTTCTTCTCTATGAACTTTGTTTTTATAAAGAACGTGGCCATGATCATTCAGAGCAACTTCAGTAGAAACACGGATAATTTGGGCGTGAAGTACTCCTTCGCTGTCTTCGTTAGCGTTTTCGTTTTCTCCGCTCATTCGACCTTTTTTCGCGTTGACTTGGACTTCTACGGACTGTAAGCTGATTAAATATTGTTGGAACCGTGCCGTGTGTTAACCTTTTAGTTCCAGAAAGTGTCTTCACGACTTTTTTAGTCTTAAAGTGTTCGGAGCATATATGCAAGTTCTTGATGGACGTGAACTCCTTATCAGCGCTACGACAGAAGGCGCTTCCTTTCTTTCTTAGACTCTCTTCGCCTGAAAACCCGGAAAAGTTGAGGTCCGGCCTATCAGTTATTTTTGCACACAGAAATGGCACAAAACTTCATATTCGACTTACAGTCACTCCGATCTTGCTTTCAAAATAAGCGCCCCTTAGCCTCAGCTTGGTGCTAATAATTAGTTACCAGACTATGTCGTAAAAACAATTTGAAATTAGCCTACATCACCACTACATTAGAAATTGAAATCACTGTACGAGAATGAAGAACTGCTATGCGATATTTTAAATTACCCATCGAGAATGATAAAACCTTAATCGAGAAAAAGACTGATGTAGCAATATACTGAGAATTAAATATTAACTGTTGAGAATGAGAAATTGTTGCGTGAGAAAAAGAAATCACTATGCGAGATTATCGATTACTTTTTCTGAGCCGGTGAGCAACAGCTAGTAAGCGGAATATTTCTCTCAAAACGGCGGGGCAACTTAGTGCAGAATACTTTACAAAGTTTGTTGATTCTCTAAAGAGCACCATTGAAAGGGACTTTCGTTTATCACGCATTGTTCATGAAGGATTAGAAATCTGTACCAGAAAGCTTTAGGAATAGAACAACAATGCTTATCGCCATATCACTGTCTCAAAATTCCTCTTCAAACCTGTTTGAGCTGTTAGAATTGTCTTTAGTCGTCTTATTAAGAAAGACGTCAGATATTTTAAATGTATCATAGCTTTGTCCAAAGGAAAAAATTCCATTGGTATTCTCTGCAAGTTCAGGAGGGAGACCGGCGTGCATTATTACAAAGAAATGATCGAGCAACTGCGTGAGACTAGTTTAAACTGGATAAGTATAGGAACATGCCTTGGAATCTCCAACCACAGGCAGCCCAAGCTCCAGCTGTGAGATGATCACCTTGCGAAATAGCAGTCATAGCGAAATTATAAGAGTTTACTTAGAGGGAATATTTACGACCGCTGTTAGGAATAAAAAAATACAGTCAAATTCTCACTAAAAATTACCTCACTTTACCTCCGCAGTGCATTGCCTGTTATCTGACCGCTTACTATGTTTTCTAGGTTTACTACACAAGAACGGCTTGTCTAATGTTGCAAACCTAGAAATGGATAACTTGCTGAAATGGGTTCTTTTAAAAATAGCAAGCGGTCAGATAACAAGCGCTGCACTTTCATGTTACAGGCAATCTAAAATGTGGGGCTAATGCACAAATTGGCAGACATTTGGAATTGATTAGGATGGTTGACTGTGATTATGACTGATATTGAAACAGAAAACAATGTTTATTGTGCCAGAGTCACACAGTCAGCTTACAGTAATTACACAATAAGATTGACCCTCTCTGACGATGGAAACAATGGAATTAAGCACTTTCTGAACACTGTGACGATCATTGAAAGTTTCAATATTGAATTTAACATTTATCAGCGTCTAATCAAAATTATTTTGATGTTTCCTTTGATGATAATGGAAGTACTTGTACACGATAATTGTTATCCCTCCCTCACATAGGAAAGTTTAATGCAGACGCTGTGTCAATTAAAATATAAAACATTGTGAAGATCAACCAGTGAATAAGACTGAAGTTATACTGTTGTGTTCGAAGCTTGTATAACGAAATGGTAATAATTTTTTTTCAATAGTTTCAAAATTGCACCGAACACTAAGAGAGGATGAAAATTCTCATGCTTCACGATTTGACCCTTAATGATAACATCAAGTATGACACCTGAATTTTGATGTAATCTTGATGGATGCTGTTATTTTGACTGATTTATCATCGAACCATTTTCACTTTTGTAGATGCATTTATTTGGTGGTGTAAGTAGTCCACTGAAATCAATGTAGTATTTAGTGCAATTTAAAATTCAGGCATTGATCTCCTAGAAGACACGTAATGGTAGCAAAAGCGACATGTCACCTTTTACCCCGAGTTTTCGCATTCCAAGGGGCTGACAATTTGATATCTTGTTATGTTATGACCACTTACACTTACTACTTAAAGTCTTAGTGATATTAGAGATCAGCTGATAAAATTTTAATTTAGAGTTTGTAGTCTTGAAACTTGCATATTTTACATTCCTCTCGAAAGGCTTTCTAACTTGTAACCAAACTAACTGCCAGTGACAACTGTAATGACATTTGAATAGATATAAATTTGTGACCTAATTTTTTTTTTTCGGAAAGTTTAGAAAATGTCATGAACAGTAACTTGTATTCTGTGTTAAAAAAAGCCTTATACCAGTAATATGAAAATGTTATGCATGAAATGAAAATTGTAAAAACTAAAAAGCAAATTTCAAAGTATTCATTTCAAAGCATTCCGAGTTTTCATTTCAAATTGTTCACATCTTCCATACTCAACAATACTACAAAACAGGCTTGTTCCTCTTTCATAACACTAGTGAATTCCTCAAGCAGTGCTTGGTATGATTCATATGTAGATGGAAGTTCTAACAATGGTGATATCCTTCTCTCCAATTTGTTTAAGGCTGGTTTTCACCAATGACGGAGTCGAAGTGGTAAGAGCATTTCTGTTCGAGTGAAAACTGAATATCGGAGTCGACTCCGACTCCGACTCCGTTGTAAAAGAAAACCAGCCTTTGGGTGATGCCTTATCATCGGCCGTTAAGCTTTCTACATAGGAGATTGATATTGTAGTGAAACAATTTATTTAAAATCGCCCGTCGCAGTTTGAGGATTAGTTTAGTGTTTAGTTTTTTGTTCCCCCCTTCTTCTACATTCCAAGAAGCACCATAACCTAAACATAGCCACTGCTGGTAGAGAAGAGAAGGGAGAAGGCAACCAGGTTCTTCTAAATGTTTTAGCATGTCTTTGGCAAAAGTGCTTCACATCACTGATGATTGGAAACAATTAAAAAGTCCCATTTATTGAGCATGACATGCAGAAACTACAGTGGGAAGCCATTGCCTAGGTTCTGCTATATGGTTACCAATGGGCAAATTACTTCCTAGTAAATGTGTTACATCTTTTTGTGGCCCTGTATCTTTATGGGGATGAAGTTATCACTTCAGAGACGTTGATATGAAGACTTAGCCAATTTGTAACTACAAAAGATAGAGAGGCATTGGACAAGTGCCTTGGCGATGATTTTAAACCTAATGATGAAGATGTCTTAGAATTTTTACATTATTCAAGTGTTTAAACCCTTTGCATCCTAACATCAGCATACTTTTTTTCCGTACTGTTCTCTATGCATATCCTATGGTACTGACAAAGAGAATTTGTTTAACAACCAAGAGCCTCTTTAGTTCGTGATCATTTCCTTTATTCTCATGATCTTGATGTTTGTTTTAGAGGGGATTCTGATAGGAGAAAATGGTTACTAACCACTCTTAGAGATCAATTGGTGGAGTCCAATTCTCAAGGTATTGTGCTCTAAGGAAAACTTTCAGTCCCTCGAGACTAAAGCAAGCCGCCAAATTAATTAACAAGTTATTCAGTGCTGAACAACCAACTGAAGCAGAACTGACATCCTTTGAACAACTGAAACGGTTTATAGAGTCACTGAATTGCAAATCTTTACCCAGGTTTCTCTGGATCTGCACTGGTAATGATGTGATCACTGTACGTACACAACATAGATGTGCACTTTGCTATCCTTGAAGGGCAGCATTGACGTCCTTTTGCCAGAACATGTAGACCGAAATGATTAATTCTTTTTTTCTATAGTTTAGTAATAAACTGGGGGCAAGGACCGGAAGAACGTTTGCAATAAGATTCATCCAAGGTTGCAAAAGAAGTGGGAAACGAAGCTGGAGAAGGAGGGGCTTATGGAAATCTTGGCATTGCCTATAAGATGTTAGGCGATTTTCATAAGGCTATCAGTTACCACGAGCGTCATCTACAAATTGCAAAAGAAGTGGGAGACAAAGCTGGAGAAGGAGGGGCTTATGGAAATCTTGGCAATGCCTATCAGATGTTAGGCGATTTTCATAAGGCTATCAGTTACCACGAGCGTCATCTACAAATTGCAAAAGAAGTGGGAGACAAAGCTGGAGAAGGACGGGCTTATGGAAATCTTGGCAATGCCTATCAGATGTTAGGCGATTTTCATAAGGCTATCAGTTACCACGAGCGTCATCTACAAATTGCAAAAGAAGTGGGAGACAAAGCTGGAGAAGGACGGGCTTATGGAAATCTTGGCAATGCCTATCGTGGCTTACGCGATTTTCATAAGGCTATCAGTTACCACGAGCGTTGTCTACAAATTGCAAAAGAAGTGGGAGATAAAGCTGGAGAAGGAGGGGCTTATGGAAATCTTGGCATTGCCTATAAAATGTTAAGCGATTTTCATAAGTCTATCAGTTACCACGAGCGTCATCTACAAATTGCAAAAGAAGTGGGAGACAAAGCTGGAGAAGGACGGGCTTATGGAAATCTTGGCAATGCCTATAAGATGTTAGGCTATTTTCATAAGGCTATCAGTTACCACGAGCGTCATCTACAAATTGCAAAAGAAGTGGGAGACAAAGCTGGAGAAGGACGGGCTTATGGAAATCTTGGCAATGCCTATCGTGGCTTAGGCAATTTTCATAAGGCTATCAGTTACCACGAGCGTTGTCTACAAATTGCAAAAGAGGTGGGAGACAAAGCTGGAGAAGGAAGGGCTTATGGAAATCTTGGCAATGCCTATAAGATGTTAGGCGATTTTCATAAGGCTATCAGTTACCACGAGCGTCATCTACAAATTTCAAAAGAAGTGGGAGACAAAGCTGGTGAAGGTGGGGCTTATGGAAATCTTGGCAACGCTTATCATGGCTTAGGCGATTTTCATAAGGCTATAAGTTACCACGAGCGTCGTCTACAAATTGCAAAAGAAGTGGGAGACAAAGCTGGAGAAGGAGGGGCTTATGGAAATCTTGGCATTGCCTATGATAGCTTAGGCGATTTTCATAAGGCTATCAGTTACCACAAGCGTCATCTACAAATTGCAAAAGAAGTGGGAGACAAAGCTGGAGAAGGACGGGCTTATGGAAATCTTGGCAATGCCTATCATGGCTTAGGCGATTTTCATAAGGCTATCAGTTACCACGAGCGTCGTCTACAAATTGCAAAAGAAGTGGGAGACAAAGCTGGAGAAGGAGGGGCTTATGGAAATCTTGGCATTGCCTATGATAGCTTAGGCGATTTTCATAAGGCTATCAGTTACCACGAGCGTGATCTACAAATTGCAAAAGAAGTGGGAGACAAAGCTGGAAAAGGACGGGCTTACGGAAATCTTGGCAATGCCTATCAGATGTTAGGCGATTTTCATAAGGCTATCAGTTACCACGAGCGTCATCTACAAATTGCAAACGAAGTGGGAGACAAAGCTGGAGAAGGACGGGCTTATGGAAATCTTGGCAATGCCTATCAGATGTTAGGCGATTTTCATAAGGCTATCAGTTACCACGAGCGTGATATACAAATTGCAAAAGAAGTGGGAGACAAAGCTGGAGAAGGACAGGCTTATGGAAATCTTGGCAATGCCTATGATAGCTTAGGCTATTTTCATAAGGCTTTCAGTTACCACGAGCGTCATCTACAAATTGCAAAAGAAGTGGGAGACAAAGCTGGAGAAGGACAGGTTTATGGAAATCTTGGCAATGCCTATGATAGCTTCGGCGATTTTCATAAGGCTATCAGTTACCACGAGCGTGATCTACAAATTGCAAAAGAAGTGGGAGACAAAGCTGGAAAAGGACGGGCTTATGGAAATCTTGGCAATGCCTATCAGATGTTAGGCGATTTTCATAAGGCTATCAGTTACCACGAGCATCATCTACAAATTGCAAAAGAAGTGGGAGACAAAGCTGGAGAAGGACGGGCTTATGGAAATCTTGGCAATGCCTATCAGATGTTAGGCGATTTTCATAAGGCTATCAGTTACCACGAGCGTCATCTACAAATTGCAAAAGAAGTGGGAGACAAAGCTGGAGAAGGACGGGCTTATGGAAATCTTGGCAATGCCTATCATGGCTTAGGCGATTTTCATGAGGCTATCAGTTACCATGAGCGTCATCTACAAATTGCAAAGGAAGTGGGAGACAAAGCTGGAGAAAAACGGGCTTATGGAAGTCTTTGCAATGCCTTTCGTAGCTTAGGCAACCTTTCTAAGGCATTCAAGTACCCTGAGCGTCGTCTACAAATTTTAGAAGAAGTGGGGGACAAGGCTGGAGAAGGAAAGTCATACGGTAATCTTATCTTATACTCTTAATCAATGCATATCCGAGCTTTCGCGATTTTCATGACTCCAGCCTAAAATTGTCCTGCGGCAAAACCGCGCAGGCAGAGTGTTCCATCTACATTTAGAAAAATACCACTGACCTCTAAAGGATTCCACCCACATAAATTTACCCCCAGCCCAGAGACAAACACAAAAGGCCTCTGGTAGTAAACTGACGATTTCCAGTTCAGCCACGCCGCCGCCGCTGTGTTCAGCGCGCGCGCGCGCGCGCGCGCGCGCGCCACCGACACGTTTATCACACACATGCCACAAGTTGCTTTCCATATTTCCAATCAATAATTTTGTCCATAGAATTGTCGCATGATGTGTGTTTTACGATTTGTCGGCTGGCCAAAAACTTGTCAAAATTTAGTGATGACGAAAAAATTGTTTTTAAATAAACAATTTTTCGTTAGTCCTGGCGAAAGAACCTATGTTGGACAAAATTTTGGTTGAACAGAATGTTAGAATTAAGTGTTGGTAATGTCCGTTATATTGTATACTGAAACCAAACACCTCAAAATAATAATTTCCCCAATAAAAGGATAAGTGTACCTTATTACACACCGCCAGGAAAGATTTGGCAGATATATAGAATGCAACAGTAGACACTGAAGACAATGAAAAGACTTTGATCAAAAGGGTGAAGTTTTCTGCAATGACTCAGTTTTTGCCTTTCCCATGTTTTTTTTTCTCATGGATGCAGACCATTTAGCAAAAGCAGGGTTGGAGTTGCTAGGAGGTGTTAACTGGCAACTTTTGACAACGATGCTCTGACTAAAGGAACAACCCTCAGACCTCTTTATAAATGACAGATTTCTTTCTTTTTTAATTTTTTTTCTTTTTTAATCTTTAGTTAATAAAAGTTCATGCTTAATAACTGTAATGCTATAAAAATTTATTACATTCGTGCTCAAATCTGGTGATCCTTGCAATCTTATTGGTTCTCAATGACACGATTTATTGGTAAAATGCATCACTTTTTGCTCTAAAGTGCATCGATTTCCCCAGGTAATGAAAGCTCCTCGAAAATACAGCAACAAATCAAGATTTAACCGATTGTTTTAGGAAATCAATCAAATTGCAGAAAAAAAGAAAGACAACTTTTACAACATTTTACACACCAGCTCAGTACTGGATAAATAACATACATGTATTTGTACCGGCTTTAAAAAAATCTTTATTCATTTAGCAACTGAATTTTGAAAATTTAAAATAAATGTGATGAAGTGGTGATTGAACTTTTGCCATGCACTTTTGGTCTGAAATCATACTGGTTATTTCAAGTCTAATGCTGCTGCACAATCCTTTGATTCAGATGTCACGCGTATGATTTCAGAACAAAGTTTACTCCACCCAGTTCAATTACCATGTTCTACAGGTATTCAACATTTTTTTTTCAGTGTTTCCATCAATAAAGAGGTACTTAATTATAATCAAAAATGATAATGAATCATTTTCATAAGTGTTTTGATTTATGATTATAACTTGAGGCTATTTGAGTCAAAGAAAAGCAAATTAATGGAAAAGAAAGAAAAAAAAGAACAGTTATTCGATTTAGTTTTGAGGTTAAGTGCCAATTATTTGAATGACTCTTTCAAACTGCAAGTTTGCGACTCGCATTTTAAATGCCTTTGTAATGCTTACTCCACTTGGGAAAATTATCTTTGAATGCTGAATGATTAATTTTTCTGTGTATTTCAGAGGAAAACTTGGAGGTGAGGAAGACACATGGCACCTGAGGGAAGCTGGCGCCTCTATCAAACTTAACAGTGAAGCTGTCCAACAACCTTTGCCATTTACATGTAGATGCTTATTGTGGAACCCCAGGACCCTCTCCCCACCCCTTGCCAGTGATGAGATATTGGTTAGCAGTGTTATTGAACTATCTCATGATGGCCCACCAGATCTGGAATACTGGGAAAGTGTTGAAGGATTAAGTTTTACTGTAGCTTTGTTGCACAGTGCCTCAAATTTGGAGGGGTATGAGGTGGTTATCAAGCAACTCACTGACCAAGAGAACAATGAATGGAAGGAATTGAAGACAGAGAATACTTGGCATGGATCAGGTACTGTAATGTTGTTATGAAATGCAGGTGTGAATGAATTAATGAATGAAGTTCTCAGGCTCCCTTCCTCACTGGCATCAATGTCAGTATCTGAGCAATTGTGCACCTTCCCCTCTCCTAGCCCGAAATTAACCCCAACTTGTAACCCAAACTTGTTAGCTGACTGTTGTTGGCCTAGGAGAGGAGGAGTAGGTGTCCACTGACTCAGATACTGGCATTGATCCCTGCAATGCATGACCTACGTACTGCACTAACAATATCAAAATACACTTCTTGACACTTCATGTGCGTTACAGATCCAATGGGTTTTTTAAAACATTTTAGTTTGGTTTTCGGTGTAGTTGCGTCTAAGCAGTACATGTAATTATTGCATAAATGTTACCAAAGTGCATTTTAGTCATTAAAATATAAATTTTACCTAATCACCATGTTGTTGCAAACTTTATTCTTTGAAGCATAACTATTATAATGGCATCTGTTGGCGGCAACTTTATTGTGTGAAGACTTCAAAACACAGTTGAAGGAAGCAAATTCAACCATTTTTTTTATTCTCATGCAGAAACTTCAACAATTCCCAGGTGGCTTTTCCCATTTGCACAAGCTGTTTGTACAAAATCAGGAGTTTCTTCATTTGCTGCAATCTGGCGTCCTAAGTCTTTCACCTTTTCAAGAGGTACTGCAGTAGGTCCGGAACTGACCTGTATTGTGCCTGACTTTCCTGATGTCAGTGTTCAAATTCCTCAGAGCTGTGTTCCTGTTGATCAAGATTTCTGTGTGACAATAAAGGTACGTGGAACTGTATAATTATATAGATGTATGAGTTCAAATGTTTTATTTTCCAGTTTTAGTATTATAAGTGTTATGAAATTGGCGTGAAGGGATTGTCAAAAACACGAAGATAAAGCAAAGTTGTTATAAGAGTACACCCTGTGGCCTCAGTTACTCACAGTACACCTATTTAACTTACTGGCAACATTGATGGAAAGAGAAATATTAAAAAATTGTAAGCTTAATTACAGGACAGTTGTTCATGTGCTTAAGTTATTGTTCTATTAAACCGTTTTGGTAACTTTGCAACAATTGTGGTTCTACTGTCCCAGAATGTACTCATGGATCCTGGAAATACCCTTTTTAAAATCAGATTTTCGAGACCTAACTTTAAGCAACAAACAGAACATTTGTTTTTGTTTTGCTTCAATATAAATTTCAAATTGAAATCGTTCCTGTCAGGTAAGTTGGTTTTGTGGTTCGTATTGGTTAGCAGTTAATGCAATTAGTGAAAGAAGATGAGCATGATATTATGATGAATTAGCAAAACCGAGGTCTGACTTATCTGCCAAAGCTGAAGATAACACAGACATAAAGTTTGATAATTTATTATATCATGCAAAATCCAAATTAAATTATTTTTTATTATAAATATAGTTTTTTAAACAAACTGCTTAAATTAATGCTACAAAAGAAGACACCTCTTTCTAAATTTGAGAAAAGTTTAAGAACACTTTGCACAGACAGAGGGCTTTATTTTGGGAGGTTGAACATGAACTGGGATAACTTTTTTTGCTTTTTGATCTCAAGGTACAAGAATTTCCAAGCAGTGAGCTAAAAGGAGAGGGAGGACTTGTCGGTCCAGTTCTTTACATTTCAGGCTCTCAAAATGTGACTCTCATCGCGCCTGTAACAATCAGGATTCCTCTCACCCTCCGTAAAGGAAAACAAGAGTTGGCAGAGTTATGTCCTGGTGAACTGAGGATATTACACTGTGAATCACTAGTTGAACCACATGACTGGAAAGACATCACAGGTCAATTAGATGAACCTGCACGTCTTGTAGATGGGAAAGTGCAATTCAAAGTTAGGCATTTCTCTGGGTAAGTATTTCTTGCCGGCTTTAATTGGAAAATAGTACGCAAGACGTAGATGAGATTTAACAGTATTTTAGTGTACAGTCATACACGCATGTATTTCTTTTAATTAAACATAGATTCAAAAATTGAAATGATCACTTGCATACGTAGACTCAAGGTTACTGTGCAATGGCTGTTAGTCATTTCCGTTGGGTTGCTTAAGGTTTATTTGGTTTTTCCTTATATTTGATAGATTCCGTCCAATCAAGTTGATCAAGTCACTTTTACAATCTGCTTCGGGCCTCACTGAGTTTATAGGAAAACTTCTCAGTAGGTCTAGGCCTCACCTTGCCCAATTTTCTACGTGCTTGTGTAAGACCCCTGGTCCCGGACATTTTGGACTCAAACTTTTCTGCTATCCTCCAAGCCTGCAATATGATGTGAACCGGCGAATATCAGAGTGTGTCGTGCCCTACAAAGGCGAAGGCAGCTCTCGTGAACCAGTTTGTGAAGAGGAGAAAATTTTGGTGTCTCTTTCTCAGGCAATCATACCCCAAGGCACAGACGAGAAAAAAGCCTTACAATTTGTGAGGTATAATATCGTATAGTTTATTTTTGGCCCATCAAGTACATTGGATTTAGTAGAATACATCTAGATACAGTCATGGTAGTTTTACATAGAAATAATTTATTCATTCTATTGTAAAATTGAACATTGTTCGATTGTCAGTTGACCATTTTTCGCCACTGCTTTTCCAGGTTTCTTATTAATCAATTGGACTATGGAGGTATACAAGTTTGTTTTTTTCGGACGTGATTATCTTCAAATGCTCGTTTTTAAAGATTCAGTAGGGCTCTCGTTAAATGTGCTGTCATTTTGGATTGTGAGAAAAGATTTCAAAGCATGTGCTTTTCTGAACGAAGACTCGGCTGGTGTAGTGTACGTTGAATTTGTCTCATTTAAATTTATTTCGTTTTGAACAGATTCCACGAGGACAAAGTTTTTGACACAGGTGGTGAAGTTTGCGTAGGAAGTGAGAGTGTTCCAGGAGTGAAGTTTTTCGACCAAAGTCGTGAACTTTTGTGCAACGTGACCATAGTATTAGCATCTCAAGTAGGTGACATTTTTCGGTTTATGGATTTGTTAATCAAATGTACTTTTAGCCCAGAGCTAATATACTACTGATGCCAACCTTACTGTCGTAGATGTAGCCCAAGATGATAGCATTACACGTCAGCTTATTAACAAGATTTTTAAATTGTTACCTGTGAGGTTCTCAAGCTAGGTGTTTTTTCCCTCTTGCAGGTATCTCATCCATCTGGGGTCGTCCTTCCCTTGTCAGAAATTCAAAGAGCTCAGGTTTGTTACTTGTTTATTCATTTAATAAATATGGTTGTTTTTTTATTCATCCCCTCCTTCCTTAAATTCTTACCTCTTTTATCCCTTTGGTTGGTCCTTATGACTGGCTATTTCGTTCTATTTTCAACCAAGGCTACTGAATTGTAACCGTTTTGGTATTGTGGCACCTTTCTTTTTATAAAAGCAGTCCTTCGTGGAAAATTCGGAGTCAAAGTCTAACCGTTGTCTGTTGCGGTTTTGCAGGAAATGCCTCGGTCAAATCGAAACATTCAATCCTCAGTGGACGTAGATTCACTACATGAGCACGGCAAGAAATTACATGTCACTCTTCTAGCAACTGAATGGTGTTCGGCAAAGGGTGGTTTGTCCACCATAAACAGAGTGCTCGCCAAACAGTTTTCATCAAATCCCAATGTAAAAGTCACTTTGTTTGCTCCTCCATTTGAATGTAAATGTAAGGAAAAAGACAAAGCAGAAGCTTTTAAATGTGATATTAATATTAAGGAAGCAGATGGAAGAATGTCAAACTCCACAGACCCCCTCGACTGGTTGGCGTTTCCCCCGGAGAAACTCCACATAGACGTGGTTATCGGTCATGGTTGGAAGCTTGGGTGGCAGGCAGAGGAAATCAGGAGAAGCCACTCCTGTAAGTGGGTACAGATGGTCCACACATGTCCTGAAGAACTTGCCATGCACAAAATCTGCGACAAACCTCTCTCCAGAGGTGAAGAGAAGCATGTGTCGGAAGTTTCCTTGTGTGAAAAGGCCGACCTTGTTGTTACCATAGGACCCAAATTACAGGAAGCTATTGCTAAGTCCCTCCGACCTTGCAAAGAAGAAAAAACTGTATTGTCAATAACACCAGGTGTCTTTTCTGAATTTAAGTGTGCGAAAACCTCTGTAGCTGACTTGGAGAATTTTTACATTTTAGTTTTTGGCCGTTGTGATCCAAAGGATTTGTCCATAAAGGGCTATGATATTGCGGCAGAGGCCGTGGCTATTTTGCGTCATAGATCATATCACCTTACCATCATTGGTGCAAACACTGACAATCAAAAAGAGCTTGTTGATATTTTAGTCAGTTTTGGTATACCACATTGTCAGTTAACTGTAAGAAAGTTTCGTAAAGATCGGGAATGTTTAATCAAATCGTTGCGGGAGTTTGATCTCGTCCTCATGCCATCAAGAACAGAAGGGTTTGGTTTAACTGCCCTTGAGGCATTATCTGCCGGTATTCCCATTCTTGTGAGTGGAAACTCGGGATTTGCTGAAGCATTGAAGAAAGTGGAATTTGGTGAATTTTATATTGTAGAAGACTTTAAGGATGCTAATGAATGGGCAAAAAAAATCAAGTCCATTCGAGAGAAGGAACGGCGATTGAGACTTAAAGAGATTCGACAACTACGGACATTCTATGAAGAGAAGTACAGCTGGGAGAGTCAGTGTCAAGACCTTGTGGCGACAATGTCAAACATGGTTTATGGTATGATCTAGTTGTTTTTTGTCTGTTTGTTCGGCAGGAAGGATACATGCAACACAGAACGAATCAGATTGTTCAGTCTGATTCTTTCATACTGTTGTTTTTGTGACACAAGGGAGTAACAATAGTGATTGAGATTTGTTTTACTTACTTACTTCAAGCGCCCTCTACCTGAAGTGAAAAAGAAAATTTCCATTCCAACCATGGTTACATGAAATCAGTCTCCATCACTTTATACATTAATCATCTCACGTTGTCTTTTGCCGTCCTAATGTCTTTTAAGTTCCCAAAACTGCACTTGCTAGTCCACCTCCATTGTTTTGTTCCACTGGACTAGAATAACCCCAATGATATTAATTTGTTATCCTTGTTGTCTAGCTGAACCCTTGCGTCCAAAATCGGAAGAAGGGAAGACGAACACCAGATGTAATGCAATCATTGTGGTGGCCGTCGTTGGAGGCCTTCTGGCTGCATTCATTTCTCTCCTACTCCAGAGAGGGTGGATTGGTTCCTGAAGTGTTCTGTTGTATTGGATAAATGTAACGTTCCAGTTTTAAACAAGGTTTATATTGAACTTAGAATGTCATTGATATTTTTGGTAATGAAGATGTAATAGGCCAATTTCTAAGTGCCGAAATGAATGGAACACGTTTAACTTTTAGTTTTAAGATTAAGAATTCGATTACACTTCTTATAGGAATTAGTTGCATAGATTTTGGTAATTATTTTTCCTAAAAAGAACTAATAAGCTGGAGAAAGATAAGCCGTAAACAGTGACATAACTAGTTGAACTCCCAGAAACAGTAAACATGAGGTCTGCAACATGTTCTACGGTAGCGTTAAACGCATTTTAAATGCTGCTTCTGGAAATTTTCATAGTTCGTACGTTATCGAAAATTAAATGGATGCCTGTGTTACCACACCTAATCGTTACCAGGGCGTGAAATTAACCTGTTTTTTTTTCTGGTAGCCACTTGGCTCCTAAATTCTTCAAAGTGGTAGCCAATTAAGAGAGGAGAAGAGAGGAGAAGAAAAGAAGAGAAAAAAAGTTGGTCGCTGTTTTCAAAGACAAACAAAACTTGTCATTCTCTTTTTTACGCTGTCACCGTTCTAGAAATTAAGTTAGGGAAAAGATCTTTAACTGGCTACAAAGTGGACACAAGGATTGATGATATGCAACGTTCAAACTCACCTAAATCCAAGATGGCGTCTAGTTATCGATCGAGATGTATGTGCTGCGTTTTGGAAACAAACTTGATTAGGAAGTTTGCCGCGGATTTATCTTTGCAAATCTTTTTAATTCCTTATATCTCTAGGTAAGGTTATGATGAAACATTCTAGTCGCCAATTTGGCAACCAATTTTCAGGATTTGGTCGCCAAAGTGAAAAATTTACTCGCATTGGCGCCTGTATTAGGCGCAATTTCACGCCATGGTTACCCTATTTGTTTAAGTTAACATCAGTTTTGATCCATTTATTCAATATCCTGCAAAAAAATGCTGCTATAGTAGGCAACATAGTGACAACATAACCGTTTTAGGAATAAAATCTCTCTTACACGGACAGAAACAACGAATTTTTCATCCGAATATTTCAATTGGAAATAATATTTACGGCAACATGTTTCTAAAGTTAAGGTTTTATAAGCATAAAAATTTTGCAGGTTTTAAATTTTGTATATTATGTAAACTGCACTTGACCCACCAGAATTAGCTCCTTTAGAACCCCTTATTCTTTAGGTTGGAAGTCAAGAGAGAGAGAATGATGATGAATCTAGTTGGAAAGAGTTAAACCTTGTTATCCGTGAGAATTTTTACAGACCATTTCACACTTGTTTATTATCAAGGCAGAAGATCTTTCATGGTACATTCACAAAAACAATTCTGCACATTTTTCTATGACATTTGATTTGTTTCCTGTGAAACGAAGTTGAAGAGATGTTGATGATAGTCGTGTTTTGTGCAATATGGTAAAAGTAGAAAGTCAGAAGATAGAGTAATAATTTTATTATGGTTGAAAGAGAAAAAAGAGACATACATTCATAAATGACGGTACAACATGTAGCGATACAGTAATTGGAAGTACTAATACTATTCTATAAAGTACTAAAACTATATCATCCCTTTTAGAGCACAAGAACGTAAAAACTGCAAAAGATTCACAGCATTTATATCAGTCTTGGTTAGGCTCAAAAATACTTGATGGTTTACGTCAATGCAACAAACTCTTTAATTTGAAACACTAAAAGTAGGGAAAAAACTTAGAGAAGAGAAGTTAGGTGTACATTCACTTTTCTAGAGTTATGACAGCAGAGACGACACAAATTAAAATAGCAAAAATACTGAAGAATTTTATTGAATGTTTACCCAACTATTTTCTTCTGTTCCTCTCTATTCTCCGAGGGTTCCCAATAGGGTTCTTGAATTTCGCGATCCCGACTAAAATTATCTCTTAATCCCGTAATCCCGACGGTTTATACCGGCCAATCCCGATCCCGATCTTACACTTACGTCTTAGTCCATTTCCTAAACTTTCAAGGCCGTAGCCAGACTTTAGAACAACACAGGTAAGTTTCGAGCGCCAAAGGCGCGAGCCGCTAGAGGGTTCTGGGGGCATGCCCCCCCCTCCCCCCCCCAGAAAATTTTGAAATCTAGAGGCTCAGAAATGCTCTTTTAACCAATCCAGTTTTTTCTAGGGATTATTTTCTCAATTAAACGTTTCTTCGAAAAACAAAAGGCCAAAAATTCTATGGTCATCGTAAGGCGTAAGTTTATCTCTTTTCATTAAAATAATGGTATTGTTTATTTTACAAGTTTTCAAAGTTTTGCACGAATAACGTACGCTGGTCACGGTAACGACTTCCTTCCGTCAAAACTTCGGTCACGGACAAACATGAAAAACGTATTAGTACAGACAGGTAGGTATCAAAGAAAAAATTACGATGTAAACAAGTGCATTGAAGACAAAAGGTGACGGCAATCCCATGGTTCCATAACAAGGAAGATAAAGAAAAATTAACTAAAAACAATGCTGCTATTGAAGCGAATACTTCTTACGAAGCGGGAACCTCTTCCGAGGTGAAACAGCCTCTCGTTCCAAAGATGAAATGTTACCATCGTCGCCAGGGAAATCTTTCTCTAATATTCTATTTTCCTCTTCGACTTGTTTCCTGTTGTTTTCTTACTGCTCCTGGAAGTCAGAGCGTTCGAGGCTGACCAGTTCGTTCGGCTAAATTTATTTTTAATAGAGGTTAAACGGGGGAGTTCCAGCTCTTGTCATCGTTGTTTTCTGTCTGATAGAGCTCTGACGCACTGCTGCAACCAGTGTTTACGCCCAGTCCCTCATCTACTGTATGCTCTGTAATCATCAGTACAGGTAGTAGCGATTAAATTGCTGGTATGGCCGATAGCATCATGGTAAGTTCAAGTACAGGGTACCAAGAATTTGGATTTGTAAAATAGTACGTTGCCCAATGGGTTTTCCTCTTTAAGCCTTCTTTAGCTGCATTGGCTGCATCTGTTTTTTAGGTAATCTAACATCGTGAAAAGTTTACCTTCGAGATGCAGGAAGATAAACTGTCCAGTGTCATGCAACTCGACAGGTAAAGAGTGTCATATAGGTATAACTCTGAGATTTGCTGGAGGTTTTTCAAGGCCGTCAAGCATTTCAAAAAACGTAGCAGTCTGACATGCCTCGTTGCCCTGTGGGCCATTGAGGATTTTTGGTAAATTGGCAACTTCGCTTCTTATATAATATTCATTCCCGCGCAATAACAGCCCGACCACCGCCTGTTCGCCTGGTGCTTTCATGGACTGAGAATATAACTTTCTTCATAAATTCTCTTCAACAGACATCCCGGTTCTAGGTTCGTTTAAATGATTATTTCCCGAATCCCGCTCCTCAAAATCGCCGATTCCCGTGTCCCGTTCATAATAGGAATCCCGCATCTCGCTTCCTTCTTACGTTAAATTCCCAGATCCCGGGCTATAAAAGAGTCCAATCTCGGATCCCGAAAATCTATTGGGGACCCTCTTCTCCCTTCTCTCATTAATTAGTTGTAATTTGGTTTTTAAGCTTATGTTTCCGATTGTTAATTTCATAACACACGAAAAACGAAGGTAATTTTCGAGTCATAACTTAGTTCCTTCTTTGGAAAAACTTGTGTTATTTTTAAAAGTTCTCCGAAGAAGGTGCCTAAAACTAATTGCAGGCTCGTGGTACTGTGAGGTGGAATAAATTTGGAGAAAATGGGAGGGGGTGTTGGATGGGTAGAAGGCCGTCAAAACTAAAACTTAACTATCAGACCCTGGGTAAGGGCATATAGCGACAATAATGCGTCCATCAATGGTCGGTGGGATCCCTCCTACCATTCAGATATCTTCTTGATGGATTTGTACGATGAGCATCAACTCATCATCTTTGGTGTACATTTCCATACTTATGAGGTCTTTCCCTGCATCAGTACTCACGACGATGACATGTGCACCTTTTCGATGAAATGCAAGCTTAGCCGGACCATACCCTTGTAAACGTTCCAGTTCAAACTTGTTCAGACGGTTGCCGTATTCACCGAAGTGTGAACACAAGAATCTTCTGTGTCCACCACCATAACACGGCCTTCATTAGCAACAGTGATATCCCGCGGATTCTTCAGTATTCCTTCTCCTTAACTGCAAACAAACTCTCCGTCGTTGCCATATTCCTCCATTGATGCAGGGGCTTTCAATGCCAGTATAGTCCATGTATCACTGACTGACAGTCCTATGCAGTCGACTTCTTCTTTCAGACAAAACCTGTAATAAAGATCAGCGGTTTTAGCAAGTCTTTTAACCCAGCAGGATTTCTCAGTCCCAGGCTTCTCCAGAGCAGTCAGCAGAAAGAAGTTGTCTTTCACGTCAATTGCTACGTCCCAAATATTTGATCTTGAATTTACATCAACGGTAGGGAGACTGGAATCCTTGTCAAACATTCAGCTGCTGTAAAACATCTTCACGTTACCACACGTATTTCCTACAATGAATTCCCCTGTGGAGTTTGTAACGATACTTACCTAGTACCTACGCCTCTGCTCCTCCTCACTCTCTTGACCAAATAATTATGATGCAACGCAACAATGCTCCATGCCATGCCTACGCAGAACTTTGCTTACCCTTTCGTCTGACAATAATTATACCTTCTCTTTCCCACTGTCAACAACATGAGCAGAGCAGATGGAAAGAGATACACCTTGACCAGCTGCTACCGTGACATCGTAGATGACACCATGCACGTGACAGACAGTGGACATGATTTGGTTTATTTTTTCTCTACTGAAATGACTCAAGATGCCTTTCTTGAAATAAACATCAAAACTAGTTTTAACGGCTGGCATAGAGTGTAAATCATCGATTCACAATTTGCATCGTATCAAAGCATCCGCGGAATGGTCCACATTTTCTAATACTGATATCATCAGTCGTTACCGCATTGCTCGAATGCAGTCAGACATTTCTAGAGCTTCATTGTTGAAGGGCAATGTTGCCTTTCTTTAAGAATTTCTAAATGATTCCTTCGCTTCACAGAGCTTTCTCTTCGTTTATTCATCCCGGTATAAAGTCCCAAGTTTCTCATTCCTTCAGTGAGAGAAAGTGTCTCTGAACAAACCGCTTATGCTGTTACTCCGTTATACCCGCTCCCAAACTTCGCCTTGTTGAACACTTCATTTGACAAATCGACTCCTTCTTTAAATAAGCTAATGCTTGCCAGTAAATCTCTCCTTGATATTCCATCCAACTTTGACTTGATATCGTCAATTTCACGCACGATAAGGGAACGAATATTAATTTTTTTTTTTATCTGTCACGTCACCGTCTAAAAGTTTCTCTACTACTTTAGGACGGGGGCATTGGGATTTTCGGTTTTGCGGTTTTGGTGTTCATTATTATTTGCGGATTTTCCGACTTTCAGCATTTGGTTTCGGTTTTCGTCAGAATAATAGCCAATTTTCGGATTTGGTATTCGATGTGGTTTTCGTTTATCCTCTTTGGGTTCCGGTTTCTCTTCGATCTAAGCGCGGGCAATTATGCGCCTCCACTGATCTCGAGTACCCGGAAAACCTCTGTGTGCCCCACTTGCATTGGATTGATTAGGGTTTTGATAAATGGGTTGTAAAAATTTATCACCTTTGACGGTTTTGCCCGCGGTTTTCGGTTTTAATTGAATTTTTTTGGCGGTTTGGCGGTTTTGGATGATGGTGATGTTCTTTTCGATCACAGCACAACTGACACTCCTCAATAAAGGCCAGTTCGTATATGCATTGGCAATACGCATGCTTTGAATTAAAAACTTACTTTCGTGCGCACTGGAACGTTAAGTATTACCGGTGGGTCCAAATCTAGGGGGCTCCAATCCACTAGGACAGCAGAATATTTAGGTCATGCTGGAAAGTTGAAGTGTTGAAGTTGTGAACAAAAGTTACAGTCGTGAAAAAAGTTAAAGTCGTGCCAGAAAGGTGAAGTCGTGCAGGAAAGTTGAATTCGTGAAAAAAAGTAAGTCGTGCAGGAAAGTTGAAGTCGTGAAAAAAAGCTGAAGTCGTGTAGGAAAGTTGAAGTCGCGCGGAAAGTTGAAGTCCTGCAGGAAAGTTGAAGTCGTAAAAAAAAAAATTTGATGAGAAATACGAGATGGCACTAACCTGGCCCCGTACCGTGCCCCCTCCCCCCTTTTAGTTCTACATTTTCTTACAAGCATGCCAACGATGGCTTTAAACACGGCTGTTGAAATCGAAGAAGTCATTTTGACGATGTTTTCAAAGCGATGTTACAGTATTCTAAGTGATACGCAGAGTAAAAATCGGATGAAAAAAGTCAGCTCGACTATTGCGTCCTTCAAAAATGGTGGGCTTGATTGTCGATCTGTGAGGTTCCTGCAAACTGGCCTTTCTGCCCTTGTCATCGTGAGAAAAAAAAATGTGGAATTTTCACTCTAAAAGTGATAAGTTTGAAATAGGTCTACGGCAAGTGACACTAGGCAATATCCAATTTGTCTAGTTTTGTATTCAATTTGGTCTTTTTATTTGTAACCAGGTGTTATGAATTTATTCAGTTTTCATTTATTTAACGTATCTATTAAAACAGCCATACTATTATGCGATCCTGTCTTTAGAAGAGTTTTGGTTACAGACAAGTAGCAGTATTGTCTCTTGGGGAAGGTAGGGGATGAGTTGGGACCCCCTGACTCTCCCCGTGGATCCGCCTCTGCATTCTATATCAACTCATGTTTGGTCAAGAACGCACAACCTTGCTTCTAACAAAAACATTGTGTGTGTGTGTGTGGGGGGGGGGGGAGCGAAAAGGAGGAGAAGGGCTAAATCGGACTTTATCAGTTTCCTATTCAATAAACTTAAATTAGCTTGGCTCGACGATGTGGGCTGATCAATCATACACGCAATGGCATTACGCGTCTCCGTCCTCCAGGCGAGAACGCTTCAATTTCCAATAACACATTAAACGGACAGGTTCGGTGGCCAACAATTGTCGCACTCATGATTTTCAGAAGCATATACGCTGACATGAAGAACTATAAAATTTGAGGTAGTAAGTTGTGTAACGTAACAAAGCATGAAACTTTAGGTATTCAAATAAATAGTTTCGAGCGAATAGAATCTGTTTAGATCTGGTCTTTTCTTTTAAATTAAGGGCATCTCGAAGATCAAACACTCCAGTTTGCTAGATTAGTTTGAATTTACGGAATTTTCGCGCAGTTCGTAAGTCCTCGATTGTATTCGTCTTTTTCACATTGGCATGTCTGTGTTCTTCGTCAATTGATGTGAAGGTGGCGGCACTTGAATCCACTGTTGTTGGAGATTTGCAGAGCACAAACCAGGAATTAGTCCCATTTAAGCTTGATTAATCAGTCAGAGACCTACTTTGAAATGGTTATTGAAATCTATCTTTACAAAAAGAGTTACAGGGTATGTTCAAGAGGTTGTTCAGGAGGGACGCCAATTAAAGTTGCTTGGTTTTATGCAAGTTCCTTGTCTTGATATCGTTATAGGCCATTACCATATGTCAAGGATGTGTCATTTAACTGTCGTTAATTATGGGCAAAGAACAGAAAATGGTTTTAGGTCAGAAGTGATAACTTACAAGGTACCAGGAGAACCGAGAAAAATTTAGCTGAGAAGCACCCCTTCCGTTGCGTTGGGAATTTACAATAGTCACTTAATAAATTTTTAGCAAGTGTTGTTTTTCCTTTTGACTTAATAAGGCACACTTGCCAGAGATATTACCTTAGGAGAGATTCGTTCCACATTTCAATGCCTCAAGATTCCCTTTGTATTCGATGGGAATGCGATCTTTTGTAAGAGTTTTCAGTCCCATTAGGGAAGATAGTGAATGCTGGACACTTTTGAAATAATGCTTATTTAAAACATCCTGACCGAAGTTGGTTTTTTTTGACAAATGGGTAATTTGTTCAGCATAATATTTTAGAAGGAGAAAAGATGCAAGTTTGAAATAAAAAAAAAGTGGCGCCTTAAAACAAGATATTGAGTATCAAGGCGAAATATATATGACGTGATCATCTCTCTAATCTATTGTGCTCGCGGTAGACTAATTGCAGCGCCAAAAAATCTAGATAAATGCATAAACGAAACAAAATAACTATAAAGGGCGAGTTATGGGACTATAGCAAGTAGTTATATGGTTATCAGGCAGCAATGAATCATTTTCGACATCTTTTAGACGCCACCAACATAGAACTTTTGTGTTGATGCGTGAGGAGATCGCGTGACATAATTATAAGGAGCTGACTGTGTTTAGACGCAATCAAATTAAGATGGCGGCCGTCGCCATAGAGAGCCATTTGCCTTTACAACATCTTTTCAAAGACATATCGCCGAAGTTTGACCCTACAGAGTCGAAAAATGTTGTACAATCTTTGAAAAATAATTATGGAGGTAAATTTTATTCGCTAGGGAGTCACGATTTATTGCAATGTTTGCAACTTCTTGCGAAGCATGGCTATGTGTCTGGAGGCAAAATGAAACTAATCGAAGACTACGTTGCTCCGAAATCAAGCAAAGAAGAACTGATCAAAGAAGATATAAGAAAGTTCAAGGCCTCTCGTCCAGCTGTTAAAGAGGAGGAATTTCAAGGGCGGGACGATGACATTAAGGAGATCACCGAAAAACTGGAGTCAAAAGAGGTCCCAGTTTTAAACTTGTTTGGTTCTTCCGGTGTTGGAAAGACAAGACTCGCCAACGAAGTTTGCTCACAGTGGCGAGGAAATTATCGAGTCTTTGATCTTAGAGACGTTAAGAGTATAAAAGCGATGTATTACCACATTCTTAGTTCCCTTGACCTTTCTGTTCCAGTCGGTTTCGTGAACCTGAACTATGTTGTAAAAAAAGTTCGCGATAAGATCAAAGATTTGAAAAGTGGAGAGCATTCCGTTCTGTTCTTGCTCGATAATGTGGACCGGTTTGCCACTGGACAAGAAATGGATGGGAAGAGCCTAAAAACAGACTTTGTACAGTTCCTCGGACAACTTTTCGAACTCGATGGCAAAGGAGAAAGATGTGCATTAAAGCTGCTGCTCACATCGAGGATTGAGTTCACAAATGCCAAACTGGTGGATAATTTCCAAGTGAAGTCTCTCAAAACGTCATCTTCAGAGAAAATTCTTTTTCCTGCGGGATCGACTGGTGTTCAAGTTCACCAGAAAGATAATCTAATCGGTATCTCTAAAGGATTCCCAATTGTTCTCAAAGGAATGGGTGCTATTTTGCGCCAGGAAAGAAAATCTGCCGATGACCTTATTGCTGAAGTTGCTGCTACTCCAGAGAAATCAAAAGTACACGAGGATGCTGAAGAAATGTCAGTTAGTTTTGAAGAAGAAGGAGTTGATGCAGGTCAGATATCTGTAATCAGAGAAATGTTTGCTACACTTCCAAGTGACCGTTTAAAAGTGACTGCAGTAGTAATTTCCTTGTTTCATGGGCCATTCTCTGTGGCAACAGCCTCCAAGGTTCTCGGTATTGACCAATCAGAGGCTCTTGCACAGCTAGAGGGTCTTGTGGCCAGTGCAATAATTTCTGTAGTCGATAAAGAAGCAAAAGAGAGGAAATATGACATTCATCCACTCTTACAAAAGTATGCTGACAGTATCAAGAGTGACGAACACTTTTCCGCAGCCTACATGAAAGCAAAGGGACGCTATTACGAACTCTTTATGTCCAGGATGAAGAAAATAGCGAAACTTATAGATCCCGAGTATGTCAAAGCATTTCATTTGTTTGACACTGACAGGGCAAATTATGAGTTTGTTCTTGAGATCTCCTTACAACCAGAATATTTCAAAGTTCCAGGTGAATTTCATGAGAATGCTTTGATTGCATCACTTTTCATAGCAATGCTGACTGAAGGCAAAGTAGTTACCCTGTTTCATTCCTGGGCTGAGATGTGTGAAGATGATGGAAAATCAGGTAAGGGTCATAATGGATCTGACTGTCCTAATGCTTGTCTTTTGTGTCATATTTAATTGGAAGAAATTGAATAATGATTCTCATGTTGTCTAGGAGACATTTTGTCAAGAGTCATATCAGTAGCTCATTGGCATGGGTAAAATTAACAATTGGAAGCTTATTTCCACTCCTAAAAGAGGAATTAAGTATTTCAGCTTTAATAATAATGCAAAAATTCATAATCATGTTCTGCTGACAGATATGATTCATGTTTTAACCTTTAACTCCCAAGATCTGATGTTTAATTCTCCCCTTTAGCTGCTAAATATTTCCTTGTGAATTAGTTATGAGAACTTGGTGCTAGATCAAGATAGCAGCTTCTACCTGTTAGGTTTGAATATTCCCAAGATCTGATTGTTAATTCTCCCCTCTAGTTGCAAAATATTTTCTTGTAAATTGGTTATGAGAACTTAGTGCTAGATCAAGATGGCAGCTTCTACCTGACAGGTTTGAATATTTTCAGTACCTGTTTGCTGAATATTGTATGGATATTTGGATATTATAGGGAGAAGTTTCATGTTAATCACTTGTGAGGATTAAAGGGTTTACCCTTTACACCTTAACATCAGTATGTATATTCTCCATACTGTTCTCTTAATATTTTCTAAGATCCTGAGGAGGAGAATTTTTTACAATCAAGAGCTTCTTTAGTCGGGGAAACACAAGTGTGATGCTTTAGGGGAAAATTAGATGTTAGTCACTCATAGGGAAAAATGAGTTAATTCATTTGTTGCACTTAAAATGCAGCTGTTGAAAAGTAGAGTTGCCATGACAATTGGTTCCATTGGGCTAGATACATACAAACATATAATTTGCTTGAAAGCATAGACCCTTTAACTCCCAAGATCTTATTAGTAATTCTCATTACTGTCTGCTATATAATTCTTGTGATGTTATGGTTCAGAGAATTTGGCACTGGATCAACTAATAATCCACTAATTGATATAGTTCTTTATTCTCACTGCTTGTCTCCTTGATACTGTATTGATATTGTAAGGAGAAATTCTGCCTTCATCATTCATGGTAGTTAATGGGTTACGTTAAAGCCTAGTCCTTCCTTTTGCCTGTACATCCTGTTACCTCATAACAAAATAAAATAATTTATAGATTCAATGTTTCAAAAACTCAAAAAAAGTAGAGTTGTGATGACAATTGGTCCTGTCATTTTAGATATTTGTTATCTGCTTTAAAGCATCAAGTTAAAGACTAGTCCATCCTTTAGCTAGTAAATCCTGTTACCTCATTACTATAGACCAAATAATTTAGATTCAATGTTCAAAAAAATAAAAAAATAATAAAACTCAGAGTAACTTAAAATGTTTATCCTTCTGAGAGAGCTGACACTAAAAGTAAAATTTTTTTTACTTATATTTCTTGAACAACTTAAATGTGAATGTAATGCATCTTGCAGTGTCAGAGATTAGAATGAATGGGTAGATTTTGTGTTTCTAAGTTGCTGAAGTTGTAAAGACTTGAATAGTACACTCATCTGCCCCATTTGAGTTAAAAGTTAAAACTTCTGACTACCATTTAAATTAAGCATTCATTGTGGTACTATGTGCTTATCGGAAGTGGAATGTTTTTATTCCAGAGTTATAAAATTTATTTTAAAATTTTGGTTACAATTCATCTATTTTAGTGCTTATAAAACTTCAAGCTTATAACCAGTACCATAGCTGTTAACACATGAAAGACAGGAGGCAGCACCGAGGTGAAGTGGTCAAACTGCTGGACTTAATGTAAAGTGATGGTATCAGATTAATGTATGATATCTGCTACTTACCAGATTTGTTATTGAAATCTGTTCTAAAAGGGCAACCAGATTACTTCTCACCAGCTGGGAATTCATACCACTTTATGTTCATTTGGTATTTCTTTGGTAACAATTTGATTTTTTTTTCTCTTTTTTTTGCTTTCTATTGTTTTTCTAATTCCAATATTATGGTCATTAGTGTCAGAACATTTATAATATGTTAATTATCAGAACTATTTACAACACTATGTATAGTTTAGACAGAGATTGCATGCTGCCAATGACAAAATTATTTGTTTAGAATTAGAAGTATGTAAGATGCAATTGGACTCATAAAGCAAAGGCAAACACATGAAACAAACAAAAAAAGTAAATGATGCATTTACCCTTTAGCTCTCAGCAGTGATAAACATGTAACTTCTCCCCATAATATCAATACATGTTCAAGCATACAGGTAATAAGAATACAAAAACTTATCAGATAAAAGTTGTTATCTTGTCAGCTAACAACAAATTCTCATGACTAATTTGGAAGGAGATGTTTATATTAGCACCTAAAGGAGATAATTAACAATCAAAACTTGGGAGTTAAAGTTGGTTAACAAACAAATTACAAGTAACAACCATGATCTAGAGAAATTTTCCATGAGTAAGGAGGGCAATCCTGGATTGTTTTATTTTTGCTTACTTTACTCTGTGATCGGTCCAGAAATCTTGTAGCTGCACAACTTTCTTGCACCTGCACTTTCTAAACCAATCAGGTGCAAAAGTTAAACCAATCACAACTTGGTTGCTTGCATTATTCCGCACTTTAGGTGTTTGGTTGGTTTTATTTTAGTTGGCTTTTAAAGGTGTTTGCCTTTCTTTTAACTGGCCATGGTAATTACCTTGGTTTTGGGTTTAAAACACTCAATTGAAAAACACTCTAATCATTAAGAATGAATGCAATTCTCAATAAGATTTTTATGTAATAGGTTCTCTTGGTAGAACACAGCTAAAGTGCTGGGAAGCCTTGCAAGTTGCAGACATTCATGGAACAGAGAAAGGATTTGAAGTACTGAAGGAAGCTTTGGGTTCAATGGAGAAAGTTGAAGATCAATCCACTGACACTTTCAAGCTCACTAAAGCCCTTTACTTGCACACTGAAGGTGAAATCCTTTGGAGAAACATTGATTACAAGAAAGCTCTTGAAAGCTTGCAGTTGTCCTTGACATTCTCAGAGGAGCTGCTAAAAGAGCATACAGATTTGGCAAGGTGCTACAATGCTGTTGGAAATTGTTACTCCCGCCTTAACCAGCCAACGGTAGCACTTGAGTTCTATGAAAAAGCCTACAACATGCAAAAGAAATTGGCTGGCTCTGAGTATCATGTTCATATGCCAATGTACAAGCACCAAATTGGCACAGCATATCAGGGTCTCCAAAAGTATGACAAGGCGGTTGAATATTACAGAGATGCATTGAGACTTCTGGAAGAACTCAATCTTTCAGGTTCAGGCGATGAAGCGCACTTTTGCAGAGAAATTGCCAATGCCCTTCTGTGGCAGGAGAAATATTCAGAAGCAGCTGAACCTGCAATGCGTGCTTACAACATTAGGAAGAAACTTCTCAAAAATCACCCACTTACGGTGCGCAGCATTTTCCAACGAGCTATCCTTCAGCACCGCTTGCAAGATTATGATGGAGCCTTGAAACTTTACCTTGAAGCATGGGAGATGGAGAAGTCACTTGATGTTGGGAACCACAGTGAGGTGTGGCAAAAAATTATCACTGGTGTGGAGGACATGTGTGACTTTTTGAAGAATGGAGAAAAGAAACAAACATTTAGAAAAGATGCTTTGAAGTTTTGTAAACAGTTTTGGATAGAAAAGAAAAAGTATCCACGATTTGCTTTTATTGATTCTAACAAGGACATTATTGATACCTTGATGGATCTTGTCAGTGATGAGAATGACAAGTATGAATTGCAAAAAGAACAGCTTTGGTTCTATGAGGGTATGTACAATGCCACCAGGGAAGAACTTCAAAAGGTATGTGACCTGGAAACTGAAAGTGATACACTTCACTACATGTTGGAAGAAATGACCAAGCTTCTTAACCAAATGATACACCTTTGTCATCAACTTAAGGATTACAAGCAGGAGGAACTATACACAAATGAATTACAGGTGTGATGGTTTTAACTTACATTGTTTCTTTATTAACTACCATACTGATTACAAGTTTATTTCTACAGTATATTTGATCCATCTCCTATCACAAAAATTACCTGCATGCTCTACTAGAAGTTTCTTTCGTAGTCACTGGTAGTCTGCAACAAAAAGCTTTATTGCCAATTTATCAAGTGGTAACAACAACAGCTTGTTATAAGCTCCCCTTACATGTATGTACAAATACTAAACATTGTATAACATTTCATATGATTTCATGATATCCTATCTTTAAATCAGCTTGCATTCAATTTGTTAACTAAGTGCATGACTTATGGTATACATAACACGGTAAACAATAGAACATTACAGAATTTTCTAGATCGTATTCTACATTATCTACACTGACACAGTATTAATACATTAACCCTTTAACTCCCATGAGTGACCAAGACAGAATTTCTCCTTACAATATCAATACTATATCAACCAGATAAGAGATGAGAACAAAGAAAAATATCAATTTGGGGATACTTAAATGATCCAATATTAAATTCTCTGAACTAACATTATATGAATTTTATGGTTGACAATAAGGAGAATTACAAATTTGATCTGGGAGTTAAATATACCAATACCAAATTCTCCAAACTAACATCACAAGAGCTAAATGGCAAACAGTAAGGAGAATTATGAATGAGATCTTGGGAGTTAAAGGGTTAACCTTTCATTATGACAAAGTAGGAAAACCACAAAGTAACTTAGCTTTTTTAGATCAGTTACAATGTGATAACCAAAGACTTTTCGGTAACATCAATTTCAGTGCTTTAACATAAAAATGACATCACCATGGGCAATTTAAGCACCACATGAAGTCAAGGTCATTGCAAAAAAAATTACTGGTAAATTAACTGATAATTGATTGCATTCACACCCACTATAAACCTCTTATAAGAAAATTATAATTGTATGAACACTTCTTTCCAAAAAAAAACACTTGAACCTATTTTTCATAGCCACAAAAACAGCAATTTTCATGATATGTTCTGAGGTCAAGTTGTATTCTGAGGTCATGAGGTCTCAGAATGACATGATTTGATTTTCTTTGACAACAAATATTTGTTAGAGTCCCATCATTTGTGATTGGATATGTAGAATCCACTGGCACTCCTATCTTTGCAGAGTCAATATCATCTTGTTCATGTAGTTATACTACATTTAAATGTATATGAATATTTATAATGGTAATTGAACTGAGTGGAGTGTAATTTGGTCTGAAACCATACAAAATTGAATGAGTGCACAGCACAAGTTTGATTAAATTTTGGAATCAAAAGTAGGATTTCAGAACAAAATTCTACAACACATAGTTCAAATACCACTTTATTACATTATTTTGAAATTGCAAAATTCAAGCCCTCGATATATTTTTTTGAGTCTGTGCTGATTTGTAAAAAGTTGTTGTCACTCATTTTCCTTCAATATGATTGACCTTTTTAAATCAAGCCTTGAAACTTGGTTGGTTAATGTGTTTTAGTAAGGCTGTCTCACTAGCTGAGAAAAAGATGCGATTTTGAGCATAAAATAGTGCAATATGTGAATAAATCACACCAGTGACAGCCAATCAAATCACACAGATCACAAGTGATTTCAAAATGGATGTAATAAATATGTATATCCTATTCATTTTGTTGTATATTGTTATATAAACAATAGCCTCTATTCTGACTGAAAATATGCAAGGATACTTGTCTGCAGACATTTCCTGTTCTGGGATGTAAACAGTTCTGGAGGAATGAAGTTCAAGGAAAACTGTGAGCTCTGAGGAACGATGACGTCCAAGGACAAATATACAAGTATATTTTCATGCCAAATGGAGGCTATCATCTTTATTACTCTTCAAATATTTTTGCAATGTATGGATAAAATTTTTGTGAACAATTTACTGTTTGGGGATGTTTAATTTTCAGTGTCCTAAGGTATGACTTGGTAAACAAACAAACATGTCCCTTCTCTCATCTCCAATCAAATTTTAAATGAATCCTTGTGATGTAATTAAGCCAATTGTGCGCAGGCAGAAACATTTGATGGATTATATTTACTGACACAACACTAACCACGAAAGCTACATACTTTGTGTTAATACCATACTTTGAATTTTTCAGGCTGTAAAAGATGGGAGAGTTCCAGAGGTGACATCACACTCAAAAGGTACTAAACCTTACAGTTGTTTGACATATTTCAGTAGCATGCTTTTAACCAATATGTAAAGATACATTAATTGTTTCTAGTTCTAAATCTTTTCTAGCAAGAATACTAGTATACATGTACAATCCAAATTGAAGTCATGTAGAGCTGAAGAGGATTTCATAGCTACATGTGTACACAGATCACAATAAGTAATCAAAAGGGTTGAACTGCGACTACTTTTCGCTTAACTTTTGTCGAACAATTTTGAAAGTATCAAAAAAATACAATTTTTGCATTATTACTTGTGTAAGAAATTTCTATCCACACTTTTCCAGCCGATGGAATTTTCCGCACGGCTTCTCGTTTCACAAATTAGACTTTCATTTCGCAAATTACAGATTCCTCATATAAAAAATTACAGATTTCCATTTCAAAGATTTCCGAATTTTTCAAAATAACAGATTTCCAATCTGTTTCGTTTCGCAAGTTACAGTAAGCCCAATGCAACACTTAAACGTAACGTAACGAAACAAATAGTTCCAATCATAATTTTAGGGGATAACTGTGTTCATGTGATAATTAATCATAACACTTATTGGGCAAGAGTAATACAAATGACTGCTGTCTGGTACCAGGTCTCGAAGCCATGTCTTATTCGGCCACGTTTTAGCTTTCATTTTGAAGGTCGTCTGTTTATGTTTTAGGATGATTTGTTTCCTTCGAGACCACATCTTAATTGTTTTCACTGGTATGCTTAGTCCTAGATTTCATACATACATTCCGTAGTACATGTTTGGCCCGAAATTAGCAGTCATCGCCTCTAAAGTCCTCCGCTACTAATCCTCACAATTGTCTAGCAGTCCGCCATTTTTAATAAAATGTTTACTCTCCCCAGACTCCTCAGCGGCATCAGTACTCGTTACCACGCTTCGCGTGGTAAATGGGTGTTGATTCAACTTTTTTTGGCAAAAAAAATCAGAATTGTAATTCAGTGAAACCGATGACTTTAGAGTAAGATAACAAACAAAAGTGGTTGGGTTAAAATACCACATTTGATGTCTTCTGAGATATGAGTTATTTCTCAAAACTTCTTATTAAGTATTAATGGTTTCGATTATATTTATAGCAAGGGACTTCTGCAATTTTGCAAAACGTCTTATTTACAATCGGAACAAAAACAAAACCAGAGTGCCTTCAATCAACATAGCTTCATACATTCAATGTGCAATTTGGAGTTTATGATCTTTTCGTGTAGCATGCGCGCTGTAAGCTTGTATTTTAAAAATCTTCGCTATATCTAAGCATTGAAGAGCTTGCTATTGGTTTTGATGATTTTGTAAGCTCCTATTAAAACAGAGGCAACAAGAGCAGTTTAGATAAAAGGGAAAAGATTGAACGGGATATCTGGATTACTACCACAGAGTTTGCGTTTCCTGCGTTGAAATTGAAGTACCCTTCAAAGAGAAAAGCATTGCGTGAGGCGTCGTTTTCTTTGCCACGATTTCTCTTAATTTTCCTTCACATTTTCTGCTCATCCATTCAATTGTTCAGTTGTTAATATTGTTGTCCTTGCGGATTGTAAATTTTCTTTCAGGCGCCTTGATTGGTCTCTCGCGCTTTTTGAGAGTTGTATTGAGAATCATTTACTTGATCACAAAATCGATCATAGATTCATTCTTTTCGCAGTTAAACCTTGCTGATAGTTACATCATAAAAGCAATATAACACATTTTCTTGCGTTGTATAACATGATAAACCCACTTGGAAGATATTGGAAGAACATTTGAGAAGCTTAGCCCTCGTAAGAGTAAATCGCTCAGACAGAGGCCAATGCCAGCTTCAGAATCCCCCTACGGTGGCCACGTTACATTATCAGTTCGGTTGATGACACCAAACTATCCTATGTTCAATCATCTCATCAGTTACCTTGCTTGCTAAACGACTTATTACAAATCTGTCCTGGATTGGGAAAGAACATGCCTTTTCTTTGTCTAATCACATAGCTCCAGAAGAAGAGAAGTCACTTGAGGTAGAAGAATTTTCCTCCAGATCAACTGATCAAGACGGTCGCCAGAAGGAGGAGGCTGCAAGAAAAGTGGATGAAAGAAAGACTGTCATCAAGAGGTGCAGTTCATTTGCATGTAGTCGTTCTGTTATCCCACTTTATTGGAATTGTATATAAAAAAAATTTAATAAGTTATACAATTGCCCCTAAGGGTGGCCACTATGCAATTTCTACACACGACATCACCCCTGAATCAAACTTTAAGGTCAGGAAAATAAAGAAAATGATCACCCTCCAATGTAGCTCTAGATTTTCAAAAGAATTCTCCTCGTCAGCAACTTAAGAAATTTTTTCAGAATAGTTTGGAGAAAATAAAAACTGCATGATGTCAGGGTGTAAAAGGTTAACATGATTTGCGAATATTTGCGTGCAATGCACATTAGCGACATAACAATCATATTAAGCTGAGCTTAATAAAAGAAAATTTTTCCCTGAGTAGAATGAACCATGATGGTCACATGCACAATTGAGAATTTCGGGATTAAGAAAAGAATGGCTATTTTGAGTGCTGTTCGTAAAATTTTAAATAGAATGTTATTGACTCTCTTACTTGATGAGATAGCTTAGATACAATTTGCATTACAATTACTCAAAAGCCTACAATTTACAAACTTACAAAGTAAGTCCACACTTATTTAGAAGAATCGTTGCTTCACTGAATTAGGTACTCTCAATTCGCGACATTCGAAAGCGTTGTATTAGCTATAGTCTGGTGATCTAAGGCGTTTTTAAGTTCTTCCCCAATATCCGTCCTACGTTATTTACACAACGATAGACCTATAGAAAGTGTAGTCTTAAGTTGCTTATAATTTATTCTTTAACAGCAGTATTTTTATAGTTTAGCATTCCTGCAGAGGGCTAATAAATTTTCAAAAAGAGCCGATTCTGTCGCATATTCACCCGCAAAAAAGGTATAAAAGACGCCGTTTTGGCCTTGCCCAACGAAGTAGACTGCATCTTCGTGATTTGGTTATTTGATAGTGACATCTCATCCGGAATGTCAACCCTCGAGCATAAAATATCAAAATGTTACGTTATGCATAAGCTTTTCGCCGATGGAGTAAGATACAGACAACCAATTAATAAAGTTAGCCCATCACTGAAGTTGATGAGACCGAGTTTAAAGAGCTGCAAAACCGTCTTGAAAGAGAAACTCACTTTACATTCAAGAGGAAACATGATAAGCGTTTTCACTCAAACAAAGGCTTGATAAATGTAATTTTGTGATTATTTCAGAGGTAAAATTGCAGACGAGTCAGAGACTTGGAATCTTGCAAAAGCTGGTGCATCCATCACATTTAACCTTGGAGCGATAACAAAATCCTTGACCATAACATGTTCATTATGGACCCCCGCAGCCCTTTCTCCGCCCATTGGTAGCAATGAGCTCTTGGTAAGCAATGTGATTGAACTGTCTTATGATGGCCCACCTGATCTGGAGTTCATGGAAAATGCTTCGGGAAGCATAAATGTAGCTTTGTTGCACAGTGCCTCTAACTTCAAAGGATACGAGGTGGTTATCAAGCAGTTGGTTGACTCCGAATACAACGAGTGGGAGGATTTGGAGACAAAAAACATTTGGTATTCGTCAGGTACTGAAATAATAAATTTTATCGAGGAGATCCATACACAAGTATCATTCCGTATACTTCTTGCTAATTTCTCAATCCCTAGTTAGGATTTTTTAAGGGAGATGGGGAGCCGGCTTAGTGGTCAGCGCACGTAATTCCAGATCGACATTTACAGTTTGATGCTGGTGTGTTCTCGAGTAAAACTTAGAATGGATTAGAATGACAACATGGAAGTTCTCCCAGACAGACCTCCAGCTTGGTTAATAGGGACTACTGAGTAATAATTGAAACGGATTATACCTACAGGAACGTTATTAACAGTATCTTTATGTCGTGGTCGAGATTCTCTTACACAGACCGCTCTGTGAGAAAGATTTAAGTAATAACCATAACTAATGATATCTATTACAGTATTACTAATAATATTATTATATTGCAGTACATCCAACCGTCTCCAATTGGACGTGCCCTTCGGCTGAAGCTTCTTGCTCGAAAAGGTGGTTTTCCTCGTTTGCAGCAGTCTGGCGCCTCAAGTCTTTTGTCTTTCCTAAGCCTATGTCTAAGACCTCTGAGTTTATTTGTTCACTGCCAGACTATCCAAATGTTAGTGTTGCGATTCCGTGGAATTCTTTGCCTGCCAATACAGACTTTTCTTTAACTCTAAAGGTATTTATACCCGATGTTGCATTTGTAAGAAATAATAATGATGATGATATGATGATGAAATTTATTGCCATCATTATCGTTATCATTAATATCATTATTACTTTATCGATCATTTGCTTCAAAAGACTTAAATGGTGATGACAAAAAAACAACTTATTGCCGAGAGGATGTTACCTTGATATAAAATCAAATGCTTTGACCTAAATTACGACCAATAACGGATTTTATGAAAACCATCATGTTAGTATATTCCGAGTGCATAGATTTTAGCTGAAAAAAGAATGTTTAGTCAAATCTATTCATCGTCCTTATTTCATTTGGGAAACTACTGGTAGCTAACAAGGGTACCTTGGGTTATCATAAATTTTTGATATGATTGTTTTGGCCCTTTTAATTTGAGGTGCAAGAAGTGCCAACCATTGACCACGATGTGGAAGGAATGTTTGTTGGTCCGATTCTTCACATTTCGTGCTCAAACAATGTGAAGCTGTCAGCGCCAGCGAAAATCAGCCTCCCGTTGGCACTCACGGACGGAGAAATAGAGCCAGCTGAGCTGCATTCAGGTCAAGTGAAGATACTACATTTAAATTCGAGAGAGGAATCACAAGAATGGACGGACATCACAGATCATTTGGATATGCCTGTAGTCCTTAGAGATGGAATAGTGACGTTTCAAGTCAAAACTTTCTGCGGGTAAGATAAAGATGTAGACCGAATTTTTATTTTATAAACTGCGTATATTTATTATTATAATTTTTTCATTTCTTGAAGTAAACCGTTAGTTTTAGAAACCAGAAGTTCGCTTTGCAATTGTCGTGAATCTCCAAATTTCGTCAGTTCTTGTGCTATGGGTTTCAATGTGACAATGAATGCAAAAGAGCAATGAAAAGTAACATTGATTGATTAATCAATGTACACAAAGTATTCAAGATAACACAAACGATTTACATTGGAAGCTACTAAAAATTATAGGCCGTGAGGACCATTTCCAAATTATACGCCTGATTTTTGAGATATTTTGATTCCACTGGCGAGTGAATGGAGTAGGTAAAAAATAAGAAGCATCCAGGAAGCTAGATAAGAAGGATGCTTGATGCCAATTTTATTGCAACAACTGTTCCTCGTAAAAATTTTTGTTCTGCTGCACGTTGTTATTCATATACAAACGTTTGAAATCTATTGTTTTCACACGCAGTGCTCTCCCTACGTGAGGCCCACCTACTTGTGGGTAAAGTAATTCCGTCCCCCCCCTTCCCTCTGCTCCTTGTATTCCTTTCCTTCCCCCCCTCCCCCCGACTCCTCCTCCTCCTCTCTCAACATTTGCGTGAGGCTCTCGAGCTTCCCTAAGTTATTCAAAAGCTGGCTTTACAATCAAAAGTTCTCATTGAAAAAAGTTTCTCTCTTGCCAAGTCAAAAAACCGGACTGATTAATTTTGATTAATTTTGAGCTGGGTAACTGACTTGGATGGATAATTAAAACATGTCATGGTGCTTGTCGAGGGATTATTTCCCTCCAGCAAATATTTCTTTTCTAGATGCCAACATACTTTCTAATAAGTATAGATGCGTCTTAAAACGTATCTTTTTGGTTCATGAAGTTTAGAATTTCCTGCATTTTCTTTCAGGTTTTGGCCTTTGTTGTTGAAGACGCTCACCAACATTCCATGGAAATGTGTTACGCTCCTACACGGTGGATTCATGCAACAACACGCTGGGTTTTTAGCTTGCTTATGTGATGATATAGTAACCTCGAGATACGTGCTAAAAATGTTTTGCTTTCCGCAGCACCTGAGGTCCGGGTTGAATATCGATATTTCTTCAAAATATTTTGTGAATATGCAAGGAGAGGGAACCTCGCAGAAACCCCTATCATGCGGTGATGAGACATATGTGTCTCTTTCAAATGGATTTGAGGTGCATGGAAAAGGAAATGTAAAGGACATCGTCTTAAAGTAAGCACCAGCCCTACTACGTTTTATCGTTCCATCCTCATCATCCGGGTTGAGGAAGCGGCACTGTCCTTTTGACTCCTAGCTTAAGATCATAAGTCTGTTAACTTCTTTCCTTAAGAAAGCTCAAAATGTTAGAGAAATTTACACTTCAGTACTGTAAAGTTGAATAAGTTCCTTAAGTGTGTTGTTCCTTCGTTAAGTTTGACCGAGAGAAAGCTAAAATAACTTAATAAAGAGTGTTTTTTTGCCGCTCACAAAGATGTAGACCTAAGTGATTCGGTAAATCCGCTGTACTGGAAACCTAAGAAAAAAGTTGTTGTTCATGTAAACTTTTGTTCCTTTTTTTTTGCGAGGTTTCTTCGTCACGACCCTTTTGAGCAGAGTCTGCGTGTTATTATTAAAGACCCGGGTGATCTGCAAGTCGACTTCTTAAAATTGCTGGGAGACAAGGAAAGAAAGAATTCCCCAATATTATGTCAAGTGCCCATCATTCCAAGATCTCCAGTACAGGTATTTACGATACTGCTGTTTAAATGCATACTTCTGTAGTTTAATTTATTGAAAAAAAATATGGGGATAAACAAAAATCAGTGTACTGATGTCGTAAATCGCCACGCTCAAACGAAGTTCATTATTTTGCCCAAAATACCAGGAACTCAATCCCAACAATGTGTTTAGAGTGAAATCTCCAATATTTCATTAAAGTAGTTGTACGATTATAATGCAAAGGAAAGTCAAAGAGTTTTACCTGTAGCTTTTTGTCAATGCTTTCTTCGATTTACACATTTAGCAGTTTCCATCTTCCAACTGCCTTGCAACCTCAGCAGCTTTTCCAAAAATAAATTTAAGCTGTTCCGAATATTAGATGTTAGTCATGTTACACCACTGAACCATACCTTTTGGAGACCACAGTCTTTTGGGTTGAAACTTGGGGTATACCTGGCGCCGAAAGCAAGTGGCTACGCCCATGTATTTTCCAGAGACACTAACTTAGCAGCATGAGTTCTTAATCCATTGATATAAATGTGTTTACTTTTCCTGTATACATTATTACTTGCCAATCTTTCTTACACGCTCAATATGAAATTTAACATGACTGGGATAAGCTTTGCTGTATTAATTTTACCAAAACAAATCCAGTAAATACCTAGGAAACTAAAGCGGCCACACCAGGATCTGGCCTTCCGGTCCTTTGATCAAGTTTTTTTTAATACCGGTAGTAATCTGGAAAGAGGGAGGTGCCTTCTTAAAAAGTAGACCTTTCGGGTTAAATGAGCACTGCTGAGTAAACATTAGTCTCGCAAAATTAGCCATCAAAAAGTTTCGAGTAAGATAATGTGGTCATTTTAAGGCGGCGCGAACCTTATTGAGGACGAATCACCAGAAACCCAAGACTAGTGAATGTCGTATAGGTAAAGAAATGTACAGGAACATTAAAGACCTTGCAAGTTTTTGATTAAGTGTACTTCTTTTACATTTCAGTTGTTTTTAAGTCACTTTCTATGCCTCTATACTTATATATTTTTAATTTTTCTTCATTATTTAGTCCTTTCCTTTATTTCCTCATTTCTATTCACTCCATACGTACCCGTAATTTTCCCTCCTTCTTTTAGCATCCTACTCCTGTCACCTTTGATTTTGAAGAAAGAATTGGTAAGTTGTTTTTGTTGTTGTTGTTGTTGATGGTTTCGTTGTTGTTCGAATAAATACAATTTACTAGACCAGTCATCATTGTCCTAAAATATGCAAACTCAGAAATGTGGGCTCTGTGGGTTTTGAACATGTATCTAGCATGTAGTAACGAAGCAACGTGTTCTCGACGCAATGTCATAATAACCTACCTTACTCCATGCGTTAATAAATTAGGGCATGCCCCCCTCACGCTCAATAGTGATGGCTCAATGTCTCTGTTACGTATCAGTAAACTCGATACAGACCTTTACAGTACGTGCGTCCTTCCTTGGAAGGAATTGGGTAATGGAAATGAGTAAAGCGAAAAACAGCTTGAGAAAGACACAAAGAAGTGTAAATCTCTAAGAAATTATTCCGTTGGTTACTTGTTAAAATAATCGATTAATTCTATCAGTGAGAAATCCTTAGTAACCTGTTTTTGCTTTTCAAATGAAATCTTGGATCGAATATGTTTCCTTATAACAGCCCCCTTTGTCAAATTTGTCACTGCTCATTGTTACTTCAAAGAGAAATCGATAAGACTTGTGAACGCTGGGTCTTACTTGGATCACCATACTTATCATTTCCGAACCATATGCGCCATAACACTTGCGTTAGTTCTCAACCGAACCATCTCATTAACTCCATTATTTTGCAGGTATTTCCGCTCAAAGTGTGAAAGATTCAAGTGCAAAGCAACCAACTGTGGAATCATCGTCATGCAGCCCTGTTGCGGCTCCTAAGAAGAGGAAACGCCAATCAGGTAATGCCGAGATTGAAAATTTTGCGATGGATTTTCTTTTTTATTGTATTTTTTTTTCAAGTTTGCATATTGCTGTTACTCGTTTATTTGTTTCAGCAGAAAGATTGGCATTATATTTATTAGACATCCTTCACACCCAGTTATAATGTGAAGAGGATAAAAAATGAGGAATTAAAACGGGGGGCTATCACTAATCTAACACCCGTGTATCTTGAACAGCTATCACCTATTCCAGCATTAGCAGCTGAAGACTAGCTATGACACGTTGCTAATGAACTTCATTTTCAAGATGCTTGTCGAGCCATACGCGAATGAAGAGGTCACAAATAGATAACTAGTCAAAAAAAAAAAAACTTTCAAGAATTTTTTTTATGGGTTGGGAAAATGGTACCCCTGCTGCTGCAAATGTCTCCTCGCCTTAGCCTGACTGTCTTTAAGGCTGACGATTCGGTATTAAATGATACCAAAAAGAGAAGTCGCCTCTCGCCACAACTGTTCGCTATTCGACAAAGCCTTGAAGCACCCCTTTTCTAATTTTTTATTCACCCTCCTTTGTTATCCTCAGTTATCCATGAGGTTAAAGATGGTGAACCATCAGATTGCGAGTTAGAGGAACTGTCTCAGGAACTTGGAGAAAAATGGGAGGAATTAGGAAGACGCCTGGGATTCAACCAAGCTGCAATAACTAACTTTGATGAAGACAATAATAAGTTGGCAAAGAAGGCTTTTAAAATGTTAATGGCTTGGAAACAAAAAGAAGGCTGCGAGGCCACTTACACAGCTTTGTACGATGCCTTGCGTCACAAATTGGTGAAATGTAATCGTCTAGCAGAACTCTTTTGTTGCGAAGAAATTGAAGACAATGCCTCTCCTTAGTCTAAATACTGAGTCGTTTCTGTATTATGCTATGTGTCTTTGTGAGTACTCCAAAGAGCGTCTGTGTCAAGCATTCGCGCTGAATAAGTTGTTCATTTTCCTTGCACTGGAAGATTGGGATAAAATTATCTTTAGAGAATAGATATTTACTCGTATTTTTTGCACTCAAGAACCACTGGCTAAAGAACACTGAGGTCGGAATTCTCTCCGATGTCCAGAACGACAGAGTTCAATAACATTTGTGCAAGCGTTAGACTGGCGCGGAAAACGGATTTTGAGTCGTTTGCACGTTCTTTTCTCACCTGTTGCCTCGAGGCGTTGTTTCCTTGCCGCTTTTATTTTATAGAACAACTTCCAAAAAATTTGTACACCCCCTAAATAGTTTCAAAATTTAATTTTCTTCTTAAAAACACTGGAAACAGGAAATTCCTTCAACGACAACAAAATGCCTCGATTTTAAATTCCAGCCCTCAATTTCTCTGCAAATTTCGCTGAATCTTAACCTCGAGCACTTGAGCCCGTGACGTAGCATTTCGTTATTCAGCTCTGTTTTCCAGAACGTGTTAAGCACATTACCGCCGTGAAGCATCTTATTTAATACTTAACGGCTTGACTTTAGAATGCATTTTCTCCTTACCATTCTGTTCATTTCCTAAGGAACAGACATGGAAAATTGGTTTAACAGTCAAGAACTTCCTAAGTTTTTCTGTGCTAATTCACCTTACAATAAAACAACCACAAAACACAAAACCATTTTCATGGAGAATAATAAATGTGCATCGGGCAACCAGCACTGTTTTTTAATAATAAACAAGTAAACATTATAAAGAGTGTAAGCACAGCTATAACAGAAACACTCGACAACAACCCCCAGCTTGTGCAAAAGAAAAACTTGGTTCTAAATACTAATGCAGCAAAATACATTGAGGCAAGCATCCTACCGAAAAAACACACGGAATAAGTGTAAACAAAAAAATAAGCTGGACAAAATAGAAACTTGGAAGCGCCGATGAGCATCCATAGGATGAAAGAACCCCAACGCACTCACTGCAGAAACAGCGGGGAAAAATACCGGCCTTATGGACAGCACTTACCGACCTGATGGGCATGGTTAGAAAATGAAACGAAAGATTAAAGGCTTAGGTGACCCTAAGAGCGAGATATACATAGAGCGAGTGACCTCAAAAAGATTCTCAGGAAGAGCCTCAAGTTACCGAAACTTAGATTTGGGATTCCTCCAACCTACATGTCGGTCAACCAGCGCAGAGTTAAGAGACGGGAACCCCGCGGCTCCACCAATTCTAATGCTATCGGCGCCATACATACGAGCGGAGAAATATAAGATGTAAAGTTACTTAAGACAGTTGAGTTACTAATTCCTAAGGACTGATGGAATTTCTCGAAGAATTTAGATTTAACAATCCTACGAACAACTTGATGACAGGAGTTGTTGGTTCGGGAAGCAAAAAAAAAAATCTTCAATAATCCCTACTGGGCACGTAGGCTTGCGAGACATTCCTAAAACTGAAATATGGCCGTTTCTGTACCGATCATTCTTACACTTAATCAAATTAATTTTCATGAAATCGTCTAAGATAATTATATCTTTCACCCTAAGACTCAAAATTTTAGTAATACGAAAAACACCAGCATATCCAACCAAAAGGATAAACAAAAAACGAATGTCCGCCAAGGAAGCAGATGTAGTGTTCAAAATCAAAGTAATATCAGTGATCACATCGTGGGACAATGGCTGCTTGGATTGAAAAGGCCTCGCCAGCTTCCTCCGGGCGCCAGTGGATGTTCTTTCGGAGGCTCAAAATCAGCTAACCGATGTCCCCAGTAGATACTGTAGGTAGCAGACTCATAACTGAAACAGAATAGCCCTGCCAGATTGTACGGTCCACAAGTCCCGTCAAATAAAGAGCAACTTGTAGTGGAATTGCCGGAAGCACAGGAACACTAAGCTTTAAACGAGCCCAAGCCTTCCATCTCTGCCAAATAGCTAAAACACTGGCTACACTCGAGCTCCGAAGCCAAAAATGCCGGTATACCAACTTAAACGTGGCCACATAGGCAAAATTCGCTTCACAAGGACACAGCCCGGTAATCACAGCAAAACACATGGCTGCACACGAGCTAGATACTACGGACTAACTGCCGATAAATCAAACAAACACAGCCATGTAGGTGTAAGCGGCTTCCAAAGCACACAGCCCGGTAACCACAGCAAAAAACGCGAGCTGTACACGGGCTAGATAGTACGGTAGTAACTGCCAATAGATTAAACAAATCGCAGCCATATAGACGTAAGCGGCTTCCAAATCACACGGCCCGGTAACCACAGCAAAAAATACGAGCCGTACACAGGCTAGATACAAGAACGTAGCGTAAATTAAAAATGGGCGTTCCTAACCTGAAATCAACGCTCAAAGACAGCATGGTAAATTTCGGACAATCAAAGAGAACAGATGGTTTGTTTCGGTAAAACACCTAACCTGGCCCGCGAATAATAAGACAAAACAGGCAAACTCGGGAAGAAAAGGCTTCAACAAAGGCCATAAGAACGCAGACGGCCATTCAGGGACGATAAGAGTTCCAACTGAGCGGCACTCTCGTGCGTGTTTAATCACGTCCACAAGCAAGGAAACAGGAGGACAAAGCCAGTTATTTTCGCCTCGCCAATCCATGGAAAAGGCATCGATGGCGCTACAGCTCGGAGACATGAGCGTACAATTAAATCTTGGAACCTGAGCATTGCAGTGAGACGCAAAACGGTTAATTGGTTGCGGACCCCATTTGCAATCCAACTGGGGGAAACCTCCGGATTCAAGGACCAGTCGTCCTTATCAACGAAACGACTGAGAAGATTGGCTCTGAGATGGGCTTCGCGAGGAATCCACTGCAAAGCAATCTGAACCGATAATCCACTGAGCATCAGTAATTATAATTGTTGCAGAGTTGAGTTAAAATCATATTTTCGTGTTCTATTATCTCACTGTTTTAGTCTGTACTAAAAAAAACTATTCACCTTAGTGTCGGTGGCTGGCGGTGGGCATTTACCGCGCCGCTTCGGTGAAAAACGAAAAAGTTTTAACTGATAAAGCTCGTTGACATGAATTTAGGGAGGACCATCCCCAGATAAAATGTATGGTTTCAGAGATATTTAATCCCGCTTGTGAGTGGAAGGAGTTGTCAAAAATAAGAAAATATATCACAAATTCTAATCAATTTCAAAACAACGCATGCTTGATGCCAATTTTAGAGCATCAACTGCTGCTATTCATGTGTACATACAAGCTCTTGTGCTGCAAGATTTAATTCGGAGATAAATTTTTGAAATCGTTTGTTTCCACACACACACACACCTTTCACCACGTGAGGTAAGACTAATTGTGATAAAGGTAATCCCCTCCCCTTCAACCCTAACCGTTTTCGGCGTTTACTGATTTTTCAATGCAGCCGTTAAGGTTATCTGACTTATTAAAGGTGATTCTTAAATTTCTTATTTCTCTCTCTTGACAAGCCCAAAACCTGAATTTTTAATTACTTTTGAGCTAAATAACCGTTTAAGGTAAATATTTGCCTTCGAAATTTACTAGAAATTTTTCAAGGGATTATTTTTCCTCGGTGAATTTTCCTTCACAAGTGTGCAACATGCGTTCAAGTTCATTTATATGCGTCTTAAACTGTGAATGCTTAGTTCATAATGAGTATGGTTTCCTGCCATTTTCTGTCAGGTTTTGGCCCTTGTGGCTGAAGAAGTTCACCAGTGCTACATGGGGTTATGTTCCTGCTCTCTACGATAAAATCATGAAGCAACGCCCTGGGTTTTTAGCATGCTTGTGCAAGGATACCCACGAGATACTGGCTGAAATTGCTTTGTTTCCCAGCAGCATTTAAAATGTAGAGCGGATGGCGCTATATATCCTCAAGATATATTGTGAATATACAGGGAGAAGACACCTCTCTTTAACGGAGATGAGACATTTGTTTCCCTTTCAGATGGATTTGAGCTACATGGAGACGGAAAGACGGAGGAAATTGTCTTAACGTAAGCACCAGTCCAGTTAGTTTTATCATTCCATCGTTATCATCCGCTCATTTATAAATGTAAAGCAAACAAAGTGACTCCGGTTCTCAGTCTCTGAATCCTTTCAGTGATGCTATATTGACGAAGAGTGTTTGTGGAATGGTACAGTTAGTGAAAAATTGTCGGAATCCCCTTCTCTTAATTAAAAAAACTGCATGTACCCCCAAGGACTCATGAAAATAATTGAATAATACATCTTATTCCGAAATGGCCGCCGTCGGGTAAAAACTGGGACGAGTTGCACGGAAACGAGGACATGAGGGCCAAATCTGATATATTTTCAGTTTCTCCTAAGACGTTTCGGACAAAAGTACAAACTTCTTACGACAAGGAAGAGAAAACATCCCAAATTCATTGTATGTTCCCCATTTACCAATGTGTCAGTTACCAATATGCCGGGAAGTGCTCTTGGTGAGGTAACTGTCGACACAGAAGAACGCCGAATTAAAGTGTTGGTTATGCTGTCGGGGTGACTCGTGCAAAGGACTGTCAACTTAAACCCAGCTCGTAAAAAGTTAAGGCTGCTTTATTCACCAGAAATTTCTGCCGTGTGAGTTATACAGAATTAAGATTTTGATTCTTTCATTTCAAAGAGGAGGAATATGTAACAAGAAAATTGGATCAAAATATTATCGATCCAGATCTCGAGATTGTTTGCACGAAGCGAAAGTTTTACCGTTTGAGTACCAATTTAAGAAAATCAGTGGGTAACTTAAGTGCTTGGAGACAGTGGAAACTGAAAATTCCATCGGACGGCTGGGGGTCATCTCTTGATAAAAAAGCCTCTTTGTACAAGGGCAGAGATGGACAGACATATTGGAAAGTCTGAGAGGCGTATCAGTGGAGATAACCATGCACATCGTTGCAAATTGTGTGTTGCCGTAAAATCCGGATTTTGCAAACACTTTTTAGCTATGATGCCAAAGGTGTGCAATTTCACTCTTCGTAATTATAAAAATGTCACAGAACTACAACACGAGGCATTTGAAAACTGTTCAGCAACATGCACCTCAACCTTACAGAGATGGCATCAACCACGGATTGAAGGCACTACACCCTGCCCTATATTATGGAAGGGTCCGTTTCCAAAACACAGTTAGAGGGTGAGCAGAAAAGTAGTGGTATTACGTGTAATCTTTGTGAAGTAAGAAAAATTGATAGGAAATCAAAACTAAATGATTTTGTGGAAGGAACCATTATAATTGAAGCACACTGTAAGTGATTTGCTGTAAATTTTAATAGAGAATATGGCTGTGTTAGGGGAGATTGGAAACCATTATGAGGACTGATACGTGAACCTGTTACCTCAGCTGGTCAGGGTACTTTAACATCAGTGGGGAATTTAAAAAATCTATGGCTGCCGCAGCCATTTCAATGTATGAATATGAAAGCGATCTTCGCAGTAATGAACACCACTTAAGCAGTAGTGAAAACAAGGCCCAAAAAAAATCCGGCCTGTACGGGATTTTAACTCGTCCATATTCATTTATTTCTCTGCAGTTCACATATATGATTTTCATATATTTATACTTCACGGGTTTATTCCCAAAACAACGTCATGATCAGCTCCCAGTTGGCTCTTGAGCTCAGTTGGTAGAGCGCTGCACCAATATCGCAGAGGTTAAGGGTTCAAGTCCTGTACAGGCCTGATTTTTTTCTGGCCGTAGTTTCACTACTGCTTAAGATGCGTTAAATACTGAGAAGGTCGCTTCCATGCTTGTTTCTTTCTCCGCAGTTCGCTTATATGATTTCCATATATTTACAGTCATTTATTCCAGTGTATCTCAGTAGGCAAGCTGTGAGGGTCTATTTGTAAGTGTAAGCTATGATTGCTTTTAAATTGATCCTCAGTATTCAAGTAGTGACAGTATTTCAAGTTAAGTTAATATATAATTGAAGAAAAGAGGCAACATGAAAAACGATACATTTTATTTAACCATTATTTTTAAAAAACCTGGGATGACTCGCAAACTTTTGCAGTATTTACAGTATTTATATAGCGATGAGTCATCTGACGCATTCAATTCTACTCTGTATCGATTTCTCTTAACCTTTTAATCCCTAGAAGTGATTAACATCTTATTTCTCCCTACAGTAATACTTTGAATCAAGCGTTGAGGTCATGGGAATAAAGAAAATGATCACTCATAAAAGTCATGAAATCAGGGAAATGATCCGCCACCAGAAAAGGTTTTGATTTGGTGGACAAATTCTCCATATAAATATCATATAAACTGCGGCGTGCCTGAAACCAGCCTACAATGTGCTAAAGATAATGTCCCTCAAGTGGTAGCCCTTGCTGGAGCTTGAATTGATCCAAGCGGGTACAAAATGGATTTTTTTACGTCCCGAAACCAAGATTTGAAAGATCTCGTAATCGAGTCTCATATTTGCATACGAGAGTGGAAGGACGTCCGAGGAGTATCCTGGGATGGAAAGCTTGCTAAATCTCCACTGGTAAACAACAGGCCTTTTTTCTGGTATGTGGAATGCCTATGTTACTGAGCATAATCACCAAAACATCGCCTTAGTATTATTTTACTTTGGGAATGGGAGAAGAGCCTCCAGTCAATGTATAAAGCGACGAAAAATACGCTTTTCTAAGACACGCATCGCTTATTACAGTAACTCTGTGGCTACCCAAGCACTCCTGCTAGGCGGTGATGTGGCAAAAAAACCCTGGACCGGGCCAGGGAAAAGCGGCAGATACGAAAAATATAGCATCCAGTTCGAAAACAACACCGGCCAAATGTGACTTCTGTGAGAAAACAATTAGACGTAATCAAAAGAGTACCTTATGTGTTAATTGTATCGGATGCTTTCACTGGAAATGTGTGAACTGGAAACCAATGGTCAGTGACTGATTGTGCGATAAATGCATAATGGCGGCTTTGCCTTTATAGAAATGTTCTGATGCTGAGATACTCGACGACGTCGCAGAATTTACTCGGGATGCTGCATTATTAATTCCATCTGATGATGTTCACCCTCTTCGTAATAAAACCTTACATTTCAAGATTATTCATCTTAATACACAAGCCTAAGCGTCCACTTTTAAAGAGTTTCTACTAACTGTCAACAGTTTTCCGCAGTTAGATATCATCGCCCTCAGCGAAACCTGGTTAAGAAACCAGCCACAATTACTACAATACGTATCGGTACCCGGCTTTACAACCGAGTTTAGAGACAGGCAAGGCTTGAAAGGAGGGGTGTTGGCGCCTACATCAAAGACAATATAAAATATAAGCGCCGACGTGACATAGAGAACTCTTCTCCAAAAATGGAACACCTCTGGTTAGAGATTCCCAGCCGAAACAACTACAGCAAAGAGTTGGTGGGTATGATTTATAATTCTGCACGTATTCTAAATCCATCTAGCTGGCTGGATAGCCTCGAGAGATTGCTCGGTCATCTCCCAGTGTCATGGGATGGCATGCTAATCCTTACTGGTGATGTTAATATCGACATGCTTAGCTCTCCCCACTACCTTACAAAAAGGTACCAGACCATCCTTAACGTCTTTGGATTAACGCAAGTAGTGACGCATCCAACAAGAATTACAAAGGCAATGAAAACTCTTATAGATCACCTCATCACAAACTACCCACAGAAGGTTACGGACACAGGTATAGTACCTTGTTCCATAATAAGCGATCACGACGCCATCTACGCTTGCATCAATGTCCGTTTGCCGCGCTTCCAACCGCGGTTTAAACACATAGGGATATGAAAAACTTCAAAGAGGAGTCTTTTGTAGAGGATTTCTCTACGCTTCCCATGTCCATCATATCATATTCGGACGATCCAGACGAACAATTAGAGACCCTCAACTCCCTGATTCGAGAATGCATAGGAAGACACGCCCCGTTAAAAAGGATACGTGTTACTGGGCCACCAGTGCCTTGGATGAAATGTCCCAACATTAAAGACCTACAAAAGGAGAGAGACACTGCCAGATATGAGGCCCACAATACCCCTTCTGATACAAAGTGGGCCTGCTTTTGTTCAGTAAGGAACAAACTGAAAGCTGCTATCCGAACTGCCCGTAAAGCTTTTATCGAGAAAGCGCTTTACTCAAACAAGTCAAGTGAAGTACGGAAGGTCATCCACAGAATTCTTATGCCTAGCCCAAAGCCTTTGCGCTTCAACCTCGATGAGCTAAATGATCATTTCGCGTCTACAGCACAAAGAACTCTTAACGTAAATGCGACCCCCTACGTTTAGCTAAATGAACTGATCGAAAATCTCCCCGATGATTCGGATCATCATACTCGATTCCACATTTCTCATGTTACTAGAGAAGAGGTATTCAAAACGACTTAAAGCTAAAGGTCCGACTGTTCCACATTGCTAAAACTGAAATATGGCCGTTTCTGTACTGATCATTCTTACGCTTAATCAAATTAATTTTCATGAAATCGTCTAAGATAATTATATCTTTCACCCTAAGACTCAAAATTTTGGTAATACGAAAAACAACCGCATATCCAACCAAAAGGATAAACAAAAAACGAGTGTCCGCTAAGGAAGCAGAAGTAGTGTTCAAAATCAAAGTAATATGAGCGATCACATTGTGGACTGCTTGGACTGAACAGGCCTCGCCACCTTCCTCCGCTCGCTCTCAGCAACGTCCATCAACAGTGGATGTTCTTTCGGAGGCTCAAAATTAGCTAACCGATGTCCCCAGCGGATAATGTAGGTAGCGGACTCAATAACTGAAACAGAATGGCCCTGCTGGATAGCGCGGTCCACAAGCCCCGTCAAATAAAGAGCAACTTGTAGTGGAATTGCCGGAAGCACAGGAACACCAAGCTTTGAACGAGCCCAAGCCTTCCATCTCTAGCAACCAAAGTTGTACCTCTGAGCTGTGTTAGCTGCATTGAACTTCAGCAAAAGATCAAGCAAACGTGGAACTAAGGGCTGAAGCGACGGATCGTCGATACTCTTCGCGAAATCCCCGAACCGCAAAAGATCTAACCAGATAAAACAAAGAATCAAAACAAAGTCAGAAAAAAAAACACCCAGCCAACAAGAGTTTGCTCAAATTAAAAGCAATTAAACGAACTGCATAGAAATAGCTAAAACACTGGCTACAATGAAGCTCCGCGGCCTAAATGCTGGTATATCGTGACTACGTGGGAAAAAGTTGCTTCACAAGGACACAGCCCGGTAACCACAGCAAAACACATGATTAACAGACCTTCTGACCTGGCCCGTGAGTAATAAAATCAGACCTCACTGGTAAAGAAACAACGTCCATAACAAAACAGGCAAACTCGGGAGGAAAAGGCTTTAACAAAGGCCACAAGAACGCAGACAGCCATTCAGGGACGATGAGAGTACCAACTGAGCGGCACTCGTGCGCGCGTTTAATCACGTCCACAACAAAGGAAACAGGAAGACAGAGCCAATTATTTTCGCCTCGCCAATCCATGGAAAAGGCATCGATGACGCTACAGCCCGGAGACATGAACTTAGAATTAAATCTTGGAGCCTGAGCATTGAAGTGAGACGCAAAACGGTCAATGGGATACGGACCCCATTTGCAATCCAACTGGGAGAAAACCTCCGGATTCAAGGACTAGTTATCCTTATCGACGAAACGACTGAGAAGATTGGCTCTGAGTTTGGCTTCGCGAGGAATTCACTGAGAATCGATCTGAACCGAGCATCCATTGAGCAATCCACTGAGCATCAATTGTAATCGTTGCAGGAATAAATAAGTTGAAATCCTCTTTTTGTGTTCTATTATCTCACTGTTTTAGTCTATACTAAAAAAATTATTCACCTTAGTGTCGGTGGCTGGCGGTGGGTATTTACCGTGCCGCTGATAAAGCTCGTTGACATGAATTTAAGGACGATTATTCCAGATGATAAGCATGGTTTCAGAGATATTTAATCCCGCTTGTGAGTGGAAGGAGTTGTCAAAAATATGAAAATATATCAAAAATTCTAATCAAGTTCAAAACGACGCATGCTTGACGCCAATTTTAGAGCATCAACTGCTGCAATTTATGTGTACAAACAGGCTATTGTGCTACAAGATTGAATTCGTTGATAAATTTTTGAAATCGGTTGTTTCCACACACACCCCTTTCGTCACGTAATCCCCTCCCCTTCAACCCTTACCGTTTTTGGCGTCTGCTGATTTTTTAATTCAGCCGTTCAGGTTATTTGAGTTATTGAAGGTGATTCTTAAATATCTTATTTTTTCTCTATTGGCAAGTCTAAAATCTGATTTTTAATTACTTTTGGGCTAAATAATCGTTTAAGGTAAATATTTGCCTTTGGAAGTGACCAGAAATTTCTCAAGGGATTATTTTTCTTCGATAATTTTTCCTTCACAAGTGTGCAACATGCGTTCAAGTTCATTTAGAAGCGTCTTAAAATGTGAATGTTTGGTTCATAATGAGTATGGTTTTTTTGCCATTTTCTTTCAGGCTTTGGCCCTTGTGGCCGAAGAAGTGCTCCAGCATTACATGGAGTTTTGTCCCTGCCCTGTGCCCTTCAAAACGAAATATAAAACTTGATAGAAGTATGGATCAATTTCTGTCAATCTACAAAGACATTCTAGTTTTAGCATGTCTTCGTTAAAATCAAACTTTCGCAACGCAAACGCAATGTGATAGACAAATTTAGTGTATAACATGCGCGCATGCTTGCCCTGTATAAGCTCTATTGAGCTGCTATGAACAAAATCTTTATTTACGCACGCCCGTGCGTAAATAAGATGACGTAAGCAGTTTTTTTTTTACCTGGCTTCTGAGTTCCCGTCCTGTTAAGCTGTGATGCAGTTTTCCTTATCTTCGAATTATGGAAGAAACCAGCGATGAATTGCCCAATTTTTCTATCGGCATTGACTTTTTAGGTCCTGATCCAACGAGCAACAAAAACAAAGCCGAAAAAAAACTCGCAAGTTGCACGTTTCGCAAATTTGTCGAAAGACCAGCTGCACTTGAGTTCATTTGGGTTTGATTTTCTTCATTTTCCCCGTGAGCTTTTCATTCACAGTTACCGGGTAACTGGATCAAATGTTCTCGCTCAAACCAAAGTATAAAATGCGGCGTGTTTTTGACCAGCCAATAGGGACGTTTGTTTACTTTTTTTGTGCTTTGTGAGAATTTTGCACTCTAACACAATAAAAGGCTTCTTCGTGCAGATCCTTATTGTTGCTCTGTTATAAAATAATTTGCTCATGCTTTAAGCTGTGCGTATATCGAGTAACAGATGTACTTGGGAAGTTTGGAGAGCACTCAAAAAGCTAGACTTGCTCTCGGCTGCGCCTCAAGCTACTCTTACGCATTTTTCGTGCTCTCCAAACTTCCCCCGTGCATCCATAATTCGATATACGCACACTAAGCATGAACAAATTCTTAAAGTTTAGTGGCTAGAGTTTTCAGGTTTAAAGTTGGATTAAAGACATTGATATATGCAGTTACAGCAGAGGTACTTCCAGCCAGAGCAGTTGAAAGAGGAGAATTTCAACGTTAACACCAGTTGAAGAGTGTCTTTTCTTTTTAATTTTCTAAGCTTGTCAGAGGAGTTTGACACGTTAGAGAACAATCGGTGGAGTAAACAGTCATAAATGGCGCATCGAGAGAATATATAATACGATTCTGACGTGTTGTGTAACAGACTACTGATCTCGCTTGTAAACCCTTCAATCACCCGATGATATCCAGATCTTAACTCGAGGTCATTTAACGTCGTTTCATTCAGTCTAGACCAAAATTAACAATCACGCGCAATAAAATGTCATTTATCCTGGACAATCCGTTCAATCATCGAAAATACTAGCAAGCGTGTTAATCTCGAAAAGACTAGCAAGCGAAAGGACTAGAAAGCGTACTTGAAAAGACCAGCAAGCGTGTCAATTGCTATGCAAGTTGTGAGAATATCTTCTCTCTGTTCCACATCCCATTAACCTTTTAATAACCAGCGCTTAGGAGTTCAAATAAGGTGAAGGGCTCAAAAACAAACTGACTGGAGTCCCGCTTTTAGGCTTGGCAAATTCTATATGTTCATTGATGGAAAAAACTCGTCGTAGTAGAAGAACACTTCCAACTGAACCTTTAATTAGGCGAAGCCTCTATCAACGATAGGTAATCACTGTGGTGACCGTTTTTTTTTTCGTTCAATGTATTATAAAACAGTTATTAGCTTCGGTTTTTGTAATATCCATAATAATCAAGGTTATCAACCTTCGGCTTCGGCAGATAACCCCTACCTCGACCTTGATTATTATGGGTATTTCAAAAACCTCATCCAATAATTGTTTATAACTCTACTCGGTATCGTTTGCTCTTAACCCTTTAATCTCTAGGAGTGATTGACATCTTATTTCTCCTTACAGTATCACTGCTGAATCAAGTATAAGGTCATGAGAATAAGGAAAATGATCCCCAAACAGAGAAGGTCGAACAAGTTTAACAAATTCTCCATTTCAGTACCATTGGAGATGTATAGAGAACAGTATGGAGAATATGTATCCCGATCTCAGGTTGTAAAGGGTTAAAGCATGGGTCAATATTGGCCCAAACATAATTGTGTACTTTTCCAAACAAGTTATTGTAGTATCAAAACGTAAAAACGAGTTGGGTGGCCACTAGATTTTATTGCTGAAAATGAGTTATATATACAAGTACAGAAATAAGGTGATGTTAGTCATTTACACTTTTTTAAGGTAATGTTTGTCATTTTCACTTTTTTAAGGTAACTCAAGTAACACATACAGTTCTGATTAAAATTCGCGCTTTCTAAGTACCCTACTTAAATATAAGCCTTGCACTTTTATATCCTTTCAAAAAATTTATTTTTGTATAATAAATCTATAAGTTTTATCTGAAATCTGTTGTAAAAAGAGAAATAACGCGTTTCACTTCTTCAAATAGTGGTTTTTTGACCCATTCAATGCTGAAATGCAGCCTGAACTTACGTAAACAGGTGCCTTCAAAGTTAAAAGTATGTGGTATATGTTTAATGTTTTGCCCAGATAAAGTCTAAATAAATTGTTTGAGCCATAGATTAAATTAATTTTTGTATTCATCAACATAGCTGAAAGCGAAATGTTATCGAGAAATGAAATGCATGCTCGAAATGAGTCTTAAAATTATGCGTCAAAATACTCCAACCGTATACGAAAAATTGAAGATATACGCATGTGAGGTGTTATCTTAATGTACATATCAACTGGCTGGTTACATTTTTCCCTCTCGTAAAAGAGAGGGAATCTCGCTCAAGTTTAGATTTGTCCGCTACGATCTTTATTCACTTAGGCTGCAGTATTCGACGTCCCAGCAATCCTTTGGAAAACTGTCTAAAACGTTAAACTTACAGGAGAGGGGTCAGGATAGCAGAAAAAAACCAATTACATAGAATTGACTGAAAAAGACCTGCCATATATGTAATGACTTATACTTTTCATGCTATTAACAGTGAGAAAATGTTTACTTTTTGTTGAATTCAAAATGTTTTTCAGGTGCGGCTGAACCTCTCGCTACGAACACCTTTCTGATTCGGGTACTTCGCTATTTCCTTACGGAGAGCAAATCAAATCCATGTATGTTTTGTAAGGAAAAAAATCTGATCCTTTAAATCTCAGAAATTTATGTTGTCTTTACATTTATCTGACATTCATCTAAAAAAAAATTGACGTTTCAATCTTAAGAATGACTTACTGAACGCAATGGACAAATCTCTTATTCGGAAATTTTGCTTTGTCCGTTGGGTTTTTTTATTAGAGTGTTTCGACTACTGTTTTTCGGCATAGCGAATTATCACAGTTGGGGTCTTTAACTAGCTTGAAATGAAAAAAGGAACAAGCAGTTATCGAACGTTTATTTAATTTTTTTTTAAAGTGATGCCGTGACTTTTCCCCAGATTTCAAAGCTAACAATCTTGCTTAGACAAAAATATAAGATTCTATCAGCAGTTTCCATGTTGGAACCGTAGTAGCCTAAGTCAGTGAAGACTATTTTCTCGCTAACTGTCTAAACAAAGCAAAATTATCTCCCCATTTAGAGGCACCATCAGTGAATGATTGTTGTTGGGACATTTTTATGTACTCTTTTTTGTAGCACATACGACACCGAAAGTACAACCTTTTTCCCTCTTAAATACTGAATAGAAACACTTATTTATACCCAGGCAATTTCAATATAATCCCTTCTGACGTCTTTTCCTTTTAAAAGGAATATAAATACAGAGGTCTTCGCGTCTTCTTTCGTCAACGATTCGGTTATGTCGATCATGTCTTTTTAACGCAAATTAGCTTAAGTTCATTTTTAGTGCAGGTAAATGACCACATATATGATTATGTACGTTGAAATGCGGCTAAGGCGAAGTTTAAAGAGACTTCGGCCGGGCTGGCAAACACGATAACAACATACAATGAACTGATAATTTATACAATGTGTTGTAGTCTACGTCAGCTGAAATGGTGGTAAATTGGAGTAAAGTATCATTCTGAAGTTACCGCACATAGCGACGCAACAGAACCAGTTTAAATTTTAGAAGAATTAGAATTAGAAATTTATTAAAAGAGGAAGTAAGTTATGCATTGAAAGTGTCTCTCGTTTAATGTGAGGTGGTCGGCAGAAGCGGCTTGTTTGATTTGTTTTCTTGCTTAAATTGAACAGCTATGCCTTTTTTGTTGTTGTTTTTTTTTTACTTTGCCATTATCACTGAGCCTAAATAAATACTTCTCTCCCACAAATAATTTTTCACTCTCCAACACCGATTTTCCGGAAATTTTCGCTCACTAGAGCGGATTTTTTTTCTGTATACCTATGAGGGCGGGTAAACACTTAACCTCGTTCTCACGCCGTAATTTCAGCACCAGATCACTGAAGTCCGAGAACTCGGAAGTGGCCTACTCCAACAACAGACGAAAAAATGAAGGCTCAGACAACCAAACAGACGGCCAGAAAGAAGATTATTTCTAAATGGTTTTAAAATTTTATCAATGAAACTCCATGAAATGATATTCTCATAGAGCAAGATAGAGGTGAAGAAAACAAACCTTCACATCCAGCTCCATTCCAGAAATAATTAGTTTGGCAGGTGCAGTTGAATGACCCCACAGTGTTCGTACAATTGGCGCCACCCTTGGTACAATTATTGTTAATCAAACCACACTCGTCAATATCTGAAAATAACAGAAAGGCATTGATATGAGGTCTGGTGGAATGGATAACCCTAAAAGATTACATTAGCTTCAAAGCATTTTTATTTTCAAATTGCTAATTTCGTCACTCTTTATAATCTAAGCTCTATCGACTTGTTATTCAAACTATAAAATAAATGGCACACGAACAAGCATGCAGAAGTTGAAGAAAAAGACTCATATATAGACCTTTTTGTGCTACGACAAGAGGGCGGTGCAGCTTTTGTATAGAACTGCTGATGGATAATAGTCAACACTCACCTGAGCACGTTTGGCCATCTCCTGAAAATCCCTCTTTACATTTGCAGCTATAGGATCCAACGGAATTTTTACATTTAGCATTTGAATCACATTTGTGTTCTCCTAGACTGCACTCATCAACGTCTTAAAGAAAAAATTTTGAATTAATTCAATTATCAAGATTTCGATTTTCTACCATGCACAGACAACTAATAACTCATATTTTACAATGAGTGATGGTTCGCATATTTCACTTTTAGCAGGATTTTCAGAACGTAGACCGTAGACCAAAAAAAATAGCCAATGAGCAAAAAACTAACGTAGCACGCGCGTTATAAAACTTGTACTTTTCTTAGCTGTCCCATACAAGAAAAAAAACACGTAAAATAACCAACTTCCACGTCCCCTTTGCAGGATAAACTCTGCAGCAATGTAATCACGTTTTACTTTGAACTTAAGGGAAGATGTCGCACCGTTAGAAACAGTAAACGCGTCGAGTTATTGGCTGGACCGCGTTGCAGCAAGGGTTCATCGAAGTCTCCATTGCGAGAAGTGGCAATGAGGCTATTCCCTTCTTGATAAATGTTTTTCCACCTGAAGCCAACCCTCCCTCCCCCTCCTCCCCGCCCTCTTCCCTGACATTTTCCTCAGGTCCCTCTGCTGGTCCTTCTTTATCCTTGACGAGAAACTAAATGCACGAGGAGAGAAGTAAAGACTTTAAATGAAACAAACGTTAACGGTCACCGACTTTCCTAATCGTTAAGTGACTGCTAACACTTAGATATTGAAAACATATATCTACCTCACCTTCTGTGCAATCTTCACCTGTGTAACCCGGTACGCAGACACATCTATAGCCCTCACTGGAAGAACCAGCTTGGCAGATCGTATTACTCGGGCATGGCTTCTTTATGCAAGCGTTCTTTACAAAGAAGCAAAGAGGGACAAGTCAAGGCTATGTCTACGCAACTTACAAGGCGGGAAGAGGAGGGTGAAACTACGAGAGTTTAAAATGATAATGAGGTGTTGGCAATACTTCCAGGTAACTTTAACAGTGCATGCTTTTTTTAAATAAATTAAATGAAATATACATGTACTTGCTTTTTGAATAAATCGGTTACAAGTAATTAAAAGTTAAAGAAGGAAATAATTGAAATAAGTTCGTAGACTACGAATTAAAAATTACAGCAGCTCAAGACTTCTGTTTTTTTCATCCGGCACTCAAACTGTGTTTACTAATACCATACTCTCCATATTCAAAGGACAATCGAATTTAATCAAGGATGAAATTTAGCCATGCGTATAAACGTGTCTTTTACGTTTGGTAAAAATATCGAAACTTCGATGAGATAACGATAAGCGTTATTTTGTAAGCTACGTCTCTGTACCAGTCGCGTTAATTGCAGACAATGATAGTTGAAAGCACTTGACCAAACTGTTGTGTATGCCAACTGGGAGCTGGTCATTATGCAGGTTCCAAATAAACCCGTGAAGGGAAGAATAAACGACTGTAAACATATGAAAATCATATCTATGAACTGCGGACCAGCTCTCAGTTGGTAGAGCGCTGAACCGATATCGCAAAGGTCATGGGTTCAAATCCCATACAAGCCTGATTTTTTCAGGCCTTGTTTTCACTACTGCTTAAGCAGTGTTCATTAATGCGAAGATCGCTTTTAAATTTATTTCTTTAACCTCGGTTCACATGTATGGTTTTTATATATTTACAGTCAAGATAAAAAAAAAGATGTGAATAAACCAGTAAAAAGTTGAATTGTTACAAAGACATACGGATAGGCCAAAAGAAGACCTCTATTATCCTAATCATTGCAACTATAAACACACCTTGGATCCACGATAGGTGCTGTTTGGAAATGACACCAGATCACTCGGGTGTTCAAAATGAGTAGCGTCATTCATCTCGCATTTGGTGATCGAGGGAGAATCATTGGATACTAGTATATTATAGCTGACACAGTTGGGTTCCATGAAACACAATGCTCCACAGAAGTGCTTTGCGACGTTGTCAACTTCTTTTATCGTGTGGTTAAGCAGCCGTTTTCCTCCAAATGCAAGGGCAGCCGTGAACTCCAGTTGACGACATTGGTCTATAGAAAAGAATGATATTTTCCGATAAGAAGAACATAATACCACTGGTTACAAGTGAATGCTCTATTTGACAAGGACACCGGATTTAGTGGTAGAGGTAAATAACAGGGAAGCGATGGAGGTAGAGAAATTGGTAGACAAACTGCAATCAACGTAATACAAAGAGTGTACGAATTTGAATCAACGAAAAATCATAACATGACGTTTCGATTACATCCTGTTATCATTGTCAAAATTGAAAGGGATTGGCATAATTGATGTACTACATGTAAATATGTATAGAAATGTTAAGGTACATAAATGATTCTTTAATGAGAACAAAGCTTGAAAGTGTGCTTTGTATTCCTACAAAAAATTTCACCCGAATGGAGTCTGGGTAAGTGTGTTATAAATAAATAACTTTATTAATAGTGTACATGAAAAAATTATGCGCTTCTGATTGGCTGAAAACGAGTGCAACACGATTGCAAAGTCATAACGCAGGTCCAAAGTCGTAACACGAGGGCAAAATACAAATAGTGCGCGCACACTTTCAAAATTTCGTCTGTCTTTACCTCCTGATGTTTTTTTCATGTACATTATAACAAGTAATAACATGATTCCCCCCGGCAATTTGGTGTAATAAGGAATGGCAAAATTTTCAGACTACAAATTGCACTTGCCCTACGGGCTCGTGTAATTTTCTTGTCTTTGAAAAATATGTATACTCGTGCTTATTTACACCAAATTGCACTCGAAATCATGTCGTTGCCTAAACTTGACGAGGTTGAATGGCCCGCCCTAGACTTTATGGTCTAACCTAGAATCAATCAAAACTACAAGCCATGACTGAATACTACGATATTGAGTAATGTTCTGTAAGTTTAATGTCTGGTCTTTTCTTTTTTATAAGGAGGATCTCGAATATAAGATAGTCGAGCTTTCTAGGGCACTTCTTTAGAATTGCGAAATTCTCACTACGTTCGCTGTTCTTGGATTGTGTTGTATGTACCACTATGCAGTGTGCTGTTTTGGAAGTGGCTGCAGGTGTAACCTGTATGGTTTCTCAGGAGAGGCTTAAAGCCTCTGTTTTGTCTTTTCAAATAAATATATTTAGGAGGAGAAATTTATAATTTTTTGTGTTCTGTTTTCTTTTTTTTTCTTCTTTATTTTCGTAGACTTAAACAAGCAGGATTGCGACAGACGTTGCCTTGAGAAAGATTCGTTCTATTTTATAATTTTCGCGTTTGTCCTTGATGCGTCGCCTTTTGTTTCTGATGAGTTATGGGATAATTTGAGCTCGTGTTTTCAACTACTTTGCAGAAGTCACCAAACTTTTTTCATGGGGCTGATTTCAATTAAGGCATAAGTGTATTTTTTTGGAAATAATTGATATGTGATATTTCAGTTCTGTACCTGTCAAAGGGGAAAGATGCAAATTTTGTTGAAGAATTGGCATTTCAAAACACGAAAAGTTAGTATCGAGACGAGCAATTTAGGATTTAAGATGTAAATTTAAAAAATGTTTAGTGGGCAGCTTTCATGAAAGTCCCAGTGTTTTTCCAAGATCATTATATGAGTGTAGAATACAGACAATGATGATAAAAAGATGAAACAAAACTAAATTCGGCTATTTCTTTCAAGATGATTGTGTTCCCTTTAAATTCCAGTCTCTGAGATAAATAAAGGACATTACTTTGTTTTATCGAAGCTAATTCCTTACCCGTGAGTTTGAAGCCATAAAAATGATTAAATTTATTTCAGAAGTTCACGGGATAAAAAGGTTGTGTCGCCATTTCGACCGCTTTTACGATTCTACATTTTTGCTTCTGATGCTAATCGATAACCATTTTTAAATCGACAGTTAAAGGACTAATTAGACTTTCAGGAGATATTTTTGAAGTTTTCTACTTATTTATTTCGTTGTGTAAATATGCTGAGAGAAAAATGGATGATTAAGCTCACTTTAGCTGACTAAATTCATAGTCATACTCATGACAGTAACGGTACGTAGCATACTAACAAATTAAAGAGAGTGCAACATGAATTTGTGCCGAATTTATAGCCTAAACTTCATGATCCTTTTATCCCAACCGCCTGCTTAAAAAAACTTGCGTGAGTTAGATCCCACCTGTCTTTGAAGATTAAAGTCTCCCCATAATAGCTTTATAAACATTTTAATCTCCTATAAGAAGGTAGAACCTTTTGAAAACCTTGGAATTTTTGTAATAGTCACAATAAAACACTCGCAATTAATTACTTTTGTTTATTCCCGCTTCAAACACATTATAAAATAACAATTTAAAAAGTTTTCCCCTTATATTGATTAAAAAATCTACCCACCTTCTTCGCACTTCATAGCGCACATCAGAGAGCACAGCATAATGAAGGTACCAAGCGACACAATGCGAGACATGTTACAAAACTACTTCTGCCAAATTACCAAAATGTAAAATCGTGCACCGCGTTACTTGCATGCAAGACGTTTCTCGCCTGGAGCTTCTGAAGACCCGTTGTGATGTTCAACGAAGACAATTAACGTTGATGAATTAGAGATCTATTTACATCTACGTAAATTAACTTTAAGCATTGCGTTAAGTAATTTTTACGGTAGACGTCAGACACCTTATGGAGATATTCTGACTTTTTTCAGGTCTTAATTTCACTACTGCTTAAGTAGTCTTCAATATTGCGAAGGTCGCTTCCATATTTATCTCTTTCACCGCAGTCACATATATGATTTTCATGTATTTAGTCATTTATGCCAGTGTATATCGGTAAGCAAGCTGTGGGTGTATATTGGTATTAATGTTAGAAGTTTTATCATGGTGGCTTTGAAATTGATTCTCATTACTCAAGTAGTTTCAGTGTTGCAAGTAAAGTTAGAATATAAATGAAGAAAAAAGCAACAAGAAAAAACGATACATTTAATTTACCGTCATTTTCTAAACAGAACTTGAGATCAAGCACAACTACAAGCCATGACTGAATACTACAATATTGAGTAATGATCTATAAGGTTAATGTCTGGTCTTCTCTTTTTTAACAAGAAGGATCTCAAATATAAGATAGTCGAGCTTTCTAAAGCACTTCTTTAAAATTGCGAAATTCTCATGTAGGCTCGCTGTTCTTAGATTGTGTTGTATGTACCACTATGCAGTGTATTATTTTTGAAGTGGCTGCAGGTGTAACCTGTATGGTTTCCCAGGAGAGGCTTAAAGCTTTCTGTTTTGTCTTCTATGTAAATAAATATCGACACTTATCCTATTGAAAGAGTTTATTTATATGTTTACGGGGAGAAATTTATAATTTTGTTTTGTTATGTTTTGTTTTGTTTTTGTTTTTATTTTCGGAGACTTTTGCCTTTTTGTATCTCAGTGATGAGTTATGGGATCATTTAAGCTCGTGTTTTCAACTACTTCGCAGAAATCAACAAACTTTTGGGGTTGATTTTAATTTAAGCATAAGTGTATTTTTTTTGTAAATAATTGATAGGTGAATTTTCAATTCTGTACCTGTCAAAGGGGAAAGATGCAAATTTTGTTGAAGAATTGGCATTTCAATACAGGAAAAGTTAGTATCGAGACGAGCAATTTAGGATCTAGGATGTAGATTGGAGAAACATTTAGTGGGCAACTTTCATAAAAGGCCCAGTGTTTTTCCAAGTTCATTATGTCAGTGCAGAATACAGATAATGGATGATTAAGCTTCACTTTATCTCACAAAATTTCATGGTCATACTATGAAATTTTGTGAGCGGCACGTAGGGAGTATTTTCTTCAGCGTCAAAGCATACTAACAAATTAAAGAGAGTGCAATATGAATTTGTGCCGAATTTATAGCCTAAACTTCATGATCCTTTTATCCCAACCGCCTGCCTAAAACAGCTTGCGTGAGGTAGATTCCACCTGTCTTAAAAGATTCACATCTCCTCATAATAGGTTTATTAACATTTTACTCTCCTATAGTAAGGTAGAAAACTTTGACAACATGGAATTTTTGTAACAGTCAAATAGAACATTCCCAATGAATTATTTTCATTTATTCCCGCTTCAAACGCATTATAAATTAACAGTTTTAAAAATTTTTCTGATATTAATAAAAAAATCTGCCTACCTTCTTCGCATTTCACAACACACATCAGAGAGCACAGCACAGTGAAGGTACCAGGAGACAAGATTCGAGACATGTTGCCAAATTGCTTCTGCCAAATTACCAAAATGTAAAATCGTGCACTGCGTCACTAGCATGTAAGACGCTTGGAACTACTGAAAACTCTGTGTGATGTATCACGGAGACAGTTGAAGTTGATGGATTAGAGATCTATTTCCATCTGCGTAAATTACCCTTAGACATTGCATTAAGTAATTTTTATGGTAGACGTCAGTCACCTAATGGAGACATTCTGACTTTTTTTGAGGCCTTACTTTCACTACTGCTTAAGTAGTGTTCAATACTGCGAAGGTTGCTTCCATACTTATCTCTTTCACCGCAGTTCACATGTATGATTTTCATGTATTTAGTCATTTAGGCCGGTGTATATCAGTAAGCAAGCTGTGGGTGTATATTGGTAGTGATCCAAATTATTCAAGTAGTGTCAGTGTTGCAAGTAAATTTAATATATAGGTCTATGTGATCACATGATTTTGAGTGCAATTTGGAATAAATAGGCACGAGTAAATTTTTTCAAAGACCACAAATTGCACGAGCCCTACGGGCTCGTGCAATTTGGTTTTTGTTTTGTTATGAAATTTACAAGTGCTTAATTACGAGAAAAATCATGTGATTGCGTATTAATAATATACATGAAAATCTACGAGATAGCTTATCATATTTATGCAGAAGTAAAGCGCGCGCATCAGGTGCAAAAATAATTCATCCAAACCCTGCAAATGACATTGTGTGTTCGGGTACGATCGCGTACGATCTAAACAATAAAATACTAAGATGTTTTCACATCTTTAAGGCGCAAAAAAGTTCAGAGTCCGGCTAAACAGTTCAAGGATTTGTTCAGTCTGTGTCCGAATTACTTTCGATGAAATGAAATCGTCGTTTGCGAGGTTTAACCATGTTTGTTCTTAATTTCGGCGTAGAAAATCGAGCAAAGTGTTAAGCTGGGTCGGCTCCTAATTTTCGATATCCTTGGCAATTCCCTCCTCTAATCACCACTTTTTCCAAGCCGACAACCAAAAAGCGGTGCTTTTTACAGTGTTAACGTTGTTAGAGCTGTTTTTCAGCTACTAGATTGTTTTTTCGGTGTCGAAAAAAAAACCACTTAAAACTCCGACCATTGTTTCAATCACAGATTTCAGCGTGTTTAAATGTTGCGACATTGAAGGCTCGCATTTGATTGGCTATCTGTGAGGTTCTTTGATTATTGGCCAATCAGAATGTCTGTTTTTTTTCCTTTCTTTTTGCACTGAATTAACCCTCTTCTGCAATGAATTACCTGAAACTGCATTTATCTTATCCAATCAGAAGTAAGTAATTTTCCATGTATATTATTAATGAAGATGAAAAGGAACAAGAAAAACGATACATTTCATTTACAGTCATTTTCTTAACAGAAATTGAGATGGCTTGCAAACCTTTGCAGCACTATTGCTGCGATGAGTCATTTACCGCATTTTATTACACCCATTTTGAAATCACTGGTGGTCCCTGTAATCTGATTAGCTCTAATTGGTGCGATTTGTTTACGAATCGCACAATTTTTTGCTTTAAATCAAATCTTGTTCCCAGCCAATGAGGAGGCTACATTAAAAATAAAACAATGAATCAGATTTCCAGGTTTGTTTAAAGTAACCAATCAAATTGCAGGAAAATGAAATACAAAGAGTACCATGTGGCGAATTTTGCAACTTTTGTTTCCAAAACTCTTATTTTTTTCGTCCCAAAAATAGATGAATTTAATTTCAAACTGGCTCAGTGCTGCATCAATAAAATATTTGAACTATTTGAACCAAGTCCCGTTTTTGGGCGATTTCAAATGGATGTAAAAAAGTGGTAATTGAACCTCGTGTCGTTCAATTTTTGTCTGAAGTTAGAACTTGAGATTGCTCACATACGTTTGCATCACTGTTGCTAAGATGCCGGAGTCATATACCATATTTAATTCTACTCTGTATCGGTTTCTCTTAACCTTTCAATCCCTAAGAGTGATTGACATCTTATTTCTCCTTACAGTAACGCTTTGAAGCAAACGTTAAGGTCATGAGAATAAGGAAAATGATCACCCGTAAAGGTCATGAAATCAGGGAAATGATCCGCCACCAGAAAAGCTCTGAATTGGTGGACAAATTCTCCATATAAATATCATTGTAAATGCGTAGAGATCAGTATAGAGAATATGCATACCGATCCAATGATGTAAACAACTTTAAACGTAAAAATGATTTCGGTGATTGCTAGATTTAGGATATTTAGAAAGCGTAAAGTTTAATCAGAATTGAATGAGTTACTTGAATGACCATATAAATGTATAAACTACAAAAATTACCTTATTCATTTAAGCCTTGCACTTCTTATATCTTTCCATCAATTTATTTTTTCATAATCGTTTAAAAACCATTACCTCGATAATGTTGTTAAAAAATAGAATTAATGAATTAATTTTTATTTTTTAAATATGTGTTTAATTCTTAGCCCTTATAAAGTCTGTATATACAGTTTGAGCCAGGAATCGACAAATTTTTTGTACTTTTTTTTAACATAGCTGAAAGCGAACCATTGTACTTCATTTTTAGTCAAAATGAGTACGTCAAGCTCAAGTATTTGCTGAAATTACCGTTCGTCTTAAAAATTATGCATCAAACTACTCCAACCGTTTACAGAAAACTTATATACACAATTGAGGTGCTACCTTATCGTACAATGTAAATCTCAACGAATCTTTCGCATTTTTCTTTCTTCGTCTGTATCGACAGAATGTAAATTTAAGTTTGTTCACCAAGATTTTTTCAGTCATTTTAGCAATCCTCTAAAAAATTGGTTGCAACGTTGAACTTTTAGCGAGGGATCAGGATAACTTTTTTTTTTTTTTTTTACTTTTTGTTAAATACAAAAGCTCTTATGGTACCGTTGAACCATTCCTTACGGACACATCTGCAATACCGACACCTCGCTAGTAAGTACGGCCGACAATTTTCTATATCCAGATCAAAATTCTGATTTATTCTCTCTGTAATAAGGAACCTTCCTGATGAAGACCCTCTCCAATAAGGAAAACGCACCCTGAGTCTCAGACAATCATGGTCTCTTTATACTCAGAGAAAAGAAGCACGAGTGTGCTGTTCACGTTTTTATAGACTCTTCAATCTTGAGAGTTACACTGTACTGAACTTAGATAAACGGACATATCTCTCATACGGACACTTTCCCCAAGTCTATAAGGTTTTTGTATTACAGAGGTTCATCTACAGTGTTTTCGTGGCTGTATGTGTAAATAGTTAGGGTCTAATACTAGCTCGAAAATAAAGAAATAGAACGAGCAGTTATCGAACCATTATTCAAAGAGAAAATTTACTTTCTGTAATGTTTTAAACAACTCAGAAATATCTCGACATTAAGACAAACCATCAGTAAATAATTGCTGTGATCATATTGCTATGCTCAGATTATGCGCTCTATGCGATACACCTAAACCAATTAGAATCCTTTTTTGCTTAAATGCTGGCCAAAATTAATTAGTCACCTGAGCAATCTCGTTGCAACACTTTCTAGTTTCTGATTTGTAAAAGTAAAGTAAGAGGTCGAGGTCTTCAAGTTTTCTTTCGCGATCGATTATATTCAGTAACTTCATGTCTTTTCGACGCAAATTAGGGAAACTAAATTTTCAATGCCTGCATATGACCAGATCGATAATCATGCATATACGTTGAAGAGCAGTTTAAGCGAAACTTCGAAGAGAACTGTGACTTCGGGAGAGACTTGCAACCGAGAAAATAACATACCATGAAATGACACAAAAATGCAATGACTTTCAGTCAATCTCAACTTGAAGAGCGGTAAATAAGAGAAAATCATAAACATTAATTCTGAATCACTACACGCTAACAGGGCCAGTTAAAATTTACACGAATATAAAACAATAGATGTATTTACAAAGGAACTTAAAAATCCTTCACATTCAATTTTTTTTTTAACTTTTTAGCCCTCCGTCCCACAGTAGCGCGAATTGCAATCTGTCAGTGATCTCACTTTGTAGATAAAGTAGGATCCACAGTTTTTCACCAAAATATTTATTGTGAATTTGCAACCTGTAGAACGATCACTAAAGCAGACCAATCTTTTGACTTCATTATCTTCCACTGTGGGTTCAGCACCTTTCAACCAACCTGACCAGTCTGCGTCACATCTGAATGCTGGCACACGCGTTGTTGGCATTTTTGTCCCTGCAGCTCCCACAAAACGATACCATCCCTCAGCTAGCGAGCTGTCACACGAACCTGCAGTTTCTTGGGGTGTAATGTAACTACTCTTTCTTTCAGGGTTGCTCAGAATTGAGTAGTTATAACAACTGTCGGCTGGAAAGTTTATTGCAATTCAAAAGGGAAATGATAATCACATGGTTTAAATTTGACCTTGATTGCATCATTTTAATTTGACCTTGATTGCATCATCATTCATCGTCAGGAATATTTATGCATTATTACCACCCTCTTTTGATATAAAAAGACACTTGACACATTACTGCGACGATGTTGTGTAAAAACATACGGAAAATTTTGAACCAGCTCGGCATTGACTTTCCAATTACCTTCTTTCTTCAAAGAATAGATTTGCTATAGGGCGAGTGCCAGTCCGTTAAATTATTTTTTACAACGAGCTAGAATCCCGCCACCCTTGTATTACAGGCACACCGGAATCGAAAATAAATTTTGGCGATGATCCATTAGAGCGTTTAAATGGGGACGAAACGGGGAAATCATCAGTCAGGTCAAATAAAGTTGGCATGAAAAATTATCAAAAGTGCAAGCAAGTTGTGCATTTTAAAGTATCTCTCGTTCATTGCGCGGTGTTCGGTAGAAGCGGCTTGTTTGATCTGTTTTCCTGCTTAAATTGAACAGTTCGGCTTTTTTTTTCTTACTTTGCCGCCATCACTAAACCTCTCGCCCACAAATAATTTTTCACTCTCCAACACCGAGTTTCGGGAAATTTTTTGTTCATTAGCACACCCCTTTTTATTCTGTATACCCATGAGGCGACTTCGCTCTTAGCCTCGTTCTCACGCCGCAATTTCGGCACCAGATCACTAATGTCTGAGAATTCGGAAGTGGCCTATTCCAACGCTTCAAAAGAAATGCAGAATGATAAACATATGGACACACCGAAAGACGAAAAAATGAAGGCTCAGACAACCAGACAGACGACCAGAAAGACGGCTATTTCTAATTGGTTTTAAAATTTTATCATATAGAGATACAGAAAACAAACCTTCACATTCAATTCCATTCCAGAAATATTGAGTTTGGCAGGTGCAGTTGAATGACCCCAGAGTGTTTGTGCAATTGGCGCCACCCTTGGAACAATTATTATTTATCAATGCACACTCGTCGATATCTGAAAATAACAGCAAGGCATTGATGAGAGGCCTGGTGGAATGGATAACACTAAAAGATTACATTAGCTTCTAAACGTTTTTTATTTTCAAATAGCTAATTTGGTCGCTGTTTATAATCTAAGCTCTACCTTTATTCAGACAATAAAATGAATGGCACATGAACAAGCATGCAGAAGTTGAAGAAAAGGACTCATATCTAGACCTTTTTGTGTTACGACAGGAATGCGATGCGGTTTTTGTGTAGAATTGCTGATGGATAATAGTCAATTCTCACCTGAGCACGTTTGGCCATCTCCTGAAAATCCTTCTCTACATTTGCAGCTGTAGGATCCAACGTTATTTCTACATTCAGCATTTGAATCGCATTTGTGTTCTACCAGACTGCACTCATCAACGTCTTAAAGGAAAAAATTTTGAAGTAATTCAATTACCAAGGCTTCGATTTTCTACTATGCACAGACAACTAATAATTCATCTTACAATGAGTAAGGGTTCTCACATTTTGCTTTTACCAGGGATTTTCGGAACGTAGACCGTAGACGTAGCGAAACAAAAGAGCTAATGAGCAAAAAAATAACGTAGCAAATGCGCTATAAAACTTGTACTTTTCTTAGCTGTCCCATACAAGAAAAAAAAACGTGAAATAACTAACTTTCACTTCCTCCTAGCGGCGAAACCTCCGCAGCAATTTAATTACGTTTTACTTTGAACTCAAGGGAAGATATGGCACCGTCAGAAACAATTTAGGCCTAGTTCAAACGTTGATCTTTACATGTACCGAACCTAATTGCAATTTGGGTCGACTCGAATAATTAAGAGCGGCAGTTGATTCAAACGTCGATCCGAATTTAGTCGATCCTAATTGCAAAACTGAACATAACTCCATTGTAGTCAGCGGTTAATGCCTACCAAAATGGCGGAAAAAAATGTGGGAAGCACAACTTGTGGAAATGAAGAGCTTGTTTTTCTTGCAAATGCGATTAAGGAGGGTAGAAAAAGGCGACTCAAGATGCAGTTAGCATTAAACAACCTTGCTGCCAGGAGAAGACGAGTTTTGAATTTGGCTTGCCTTCTATTATTGCTTATTTCCCAAAGGAACATCACAGTTCCTCGTCCAGTTCGTTCGTGTCGTCGACTGAAAAGAATGTTTGCAACAATTATCAATTTAAAACAAGAGGAGCACGAGCCTTCCTCCTTTCCCGCCATATTGTTTGAATGGTTCGAAGGCTTTCGCGCATGGCACGTAAGCGAACTTTCTTGAATTGTGGGTAAAACATAATTATTTTAACGTATGTATAATGTATGCATTAAGTTCGGTACATGTAAAGTACGACGTATGAATCAATACCGATCTTTTACCGTTCTATCCGACTAGCCGAGTCGGATAGAACGGCACTGTCGATCCGAATACAAATCTGCCGATCCTAATTGATTCAAACGTCGATCTTTACATGTACTTAATAGAAACGTTAGGTACACGTAAAGATCGACGTTTGAACTAGGCCTTAGAACTTTCAAGAATTTATTGAAGTTCAAGATTCTTAATGCTTTACAGGTATACCATGCACCCTTTTTCAGCAGGAAAATAATTGAAAATTATTTCCACCAACTTTGCAATTACATTTCCTTACCAAGAAGGGAAAGTACGCAGTTCGGAGAGCGCCTATTACCTGCAAATTTCGTACCCTGTGATTTTCCCTTCTTTCCGAAAGGCGCACAAGAATAATATTTTTTTTCTTTTTTCGGCGATGACAGTTTCAAACTTAAAAAAGGACGTTTAAAGGAACTAGGAACTTGAAATAACTTTCCAATGGCAAATTATGAATTTGAGTACCTCTCACTTTTGGTAGTTTTTGCTAATATTGGCGCAAGAAGTAGCTCAGGAGTAACGAATATCGCCGATCAAATTAAGGTTCAGATTGCAGAAAATTAATCCTTTTGTCAGAAAACATGCCCTTGTCAGTTATTTCCGTTACTGTTCTTATCACAGAATGAAAATGAAACTGAATTCTGATTTTTACGTTTTAATGTTGATAAAGAATTACAAGCAGATGGAAAAATAAATAGACGAAAGTAACACAAAAACACTCCTAAGAGTTCTGGAGGAATGGGTGACATCAAAAGATTACATGAGCTTCTAAACATTTTTCCTTTATTTCTAACAGTCTTTTAAACCATAAATTAAATGCCACATGCACTAGCATGTGAAAGCTGAATAATAGGGCTCATAGCCCTGCTTGTGTTGCGGCAGGAATGAGGGAATGTGCACGTCAGGCCATCTCCTGTGAATCCTTCTTTACATTTGCAGTCGTAGGATCCACGGGTATTTATAAATTCAGAATTTGAATCACATTTATTTGTTTTCTCCAAGATTACACTCATCAACGTTTTAAAGAAAAGATCATGAAGAAATTCAATTACAGAGATTTCGAGACCACAGACTTCTAGTTAACAAATAGAGTAGCCTTGACTGTGCTCTGTTCTGTTATAAAGCACGCAAGAAGCGGCTAGAGCACGAAAGAAGTGTAGTGAGAAGCACTCGACTACGTCTCGTGTTTCTCCCCACTTCTTGAGTGCTCTAGCCGCTTCCTAAGTGCTTTATAACAGAACAGAGCACAGTCAAGGCTTCTCTATTTGTTTTATAATAAAGAATCCGTTAAATTCCCTATGCATTACTTTCAATTTTCAAAACAAACTTTATTTCCAAAGCGAACAACAGTGTCGTCAGCATGCCCTATACTCTCCAAGAGCACGCTTCAATAAGCCAATCAGAATCCCTGTTAGAATGGTTCAAATACTCTAATTGGCTGTACAAGACAAAAGCTGTCAAAAGTGTCAAACCGTCAAAGTTCACAATCTGCGATAGTTTACAAACTAAAATAGTTCGGCAGGTCGAATTTAAGACTTTTGCCTGATGTTTTTAATACAGAATCTTGAAGTGAAATGTTCAGTGAACTTCAGCCGAATTATGGCTCATAAAAACACCCGAGTTTTTTCACACGACAAGGTAGAAAACAAACTGTTCAAGGCGAGTGTTTTTTAAATGAACGACAGCCGAATTCACTGGAACATGAAGATCGCTCGGGATGACAGCGCCGCAAAACTCGGCTGCAGTGACTGAAGTGACTTTCCACTCAACACATCGGAAAGGATATCAAAACGAGCTCTTATATTCTTCACTCGAAGGGCGGCCGATGTAGTTTCTGAGGCTTGCTTTACTGTGCTGACCGTAGATCGCCATGATAAGCGAACCGCGATGGACTCCAGCATGATTATATTTGCTCAGACACCGTCATGATTAGTATGGATTTTAACAGTTATGCCAGTTTGGTTATATTTTTAATCATTTCTGTTTTGTTCTGTTTTGTTTTTGAACTCTGAACTTTATATACTATACGAGTGTTGGCTGTGTTTGATTTTTATTACCGTACGTAAGCTTGCAATCTAACTGAGCGTGAAAGTCTTTAAAACTCGGAATGTCTATTTTGTTTTTCCTTTGAGGATTTTCGTATCTGCTCACGTTTTAATAACGTAAATTAAGGCCCCTGGTATGTTTACAAACCTTTCTTTGGTTCTTCTGTTGCTACTTGCCGGCCCGCTTGTTCCGAAATTCCACTTTCAATTATCGGAAAAAACGCTAAAAAGAAGTCTCGGAAAAGGTCGAACATAGTACAATTTGGCAGATGGCGTGACAGCTTTAGCTCAGTTCTATGCTCTATACTTTCATAGAGCACGCTCTTCCAACCAATGACAGCGCGCGTTATATCCGAACTTTATTATAATAAAGCACAGAACACAATGGGTTAGGATCTGCATGTCTTTAATTTATTAATAACTTAGAGAAAACCTTGACGACAACAGTAAAGAAAACGTAGCGAAACAAAAGATCTAATGAGCAAAGCAACTGTTCTGAAAAAATAAAAAAAAGTGCATGAGGAGAGTACTAAAGAATTTATTTAAAACAACGGTCACCGACTTTCCTAATCGTTAAGTGACTGCTAATACTTAGATATTGAACACATATATCTGCCTCACCTTCTGTGCAATCTTCACCTGTGTAACCCGGTACGCAGACACATCTATACCCCTCACTGGAAAAACCAGCCTGGCAGATCGTATTACTCGGGCATGGCTTCTTTATGCAAACGTTCTTTACAAAGAAGCAAAAAAGGACAAGTCAAGGCTTATCTACGCAATTACAAGGCGGGGAGGGAAGGGTAAAGAGGTACATTTACATAGCCATTCTTAGGGCGGATAAATGAAACAACGAGAGCGGTTTAAAATGACCATCAAGTGTTGGCAATACTTCCAGGAAACTTTAATATTGCATGCTTTTATTACAATAAAATAAATTAAATATACATGTACTTGCTTCGTGAATAAATCGGTCACAAGTGATTAAAAGCTAATGAAGGAAAGGCAAATAATTGAAATAAATTCGTAGATTAGCAATTAAAATTACAGCAGCTCAAGACTTGCGTTTTTTTCATCCGGCGCTCAAACTGCGTTTACTAATACCATACTCTCCATATTCAAAGGGAAATCGAATAAAATCAAGGTTACAATTTACTCGTGCTTATAATTGTATCTTTGACGTTCGGTAAATATAAAAACTTCGTTGAGATAACGATAGGCGTTATTTTGTAAGCTACGTCTCAGAACCAATCGCGTTAATTGCAAACAATGATAATTGAAAGCACTTAACATAACTGTCGTGTATGCCAACTGGGTGCTGGTCATTATGTTGGTTCCAAATAAACTCGTGAAGGGAAGAATAAATAACCGTAAATTTATGAAAATCATATCTATGAACTGCAGACCAGCTCTCACAGTGGATGGAACGCTGCATCGATATCGCAAAGGTCATGGGTTCAAATCCCGTACAAGCCTGAATTTTTTTCAAGTCTTATTTTCACTACAGTTTAAGTAGTGTTCATTAAAGCGAAGATTGCTTTCTGGGTAAGTATTATAAATAAATAACTTTATTGATAATGTACATGAAAAAATTACGCGCTTCTGATTGGCTGAAAACGAGTGCATTCTCATGTAACGCGAATGCAAAGTCATAACGCAGGTGCATAGTTGTAACACGAGGGCAAAATACAAATAGTTCGCGCAAGTTTTTAAAATTTCGTCTGTCTTGACCTTCTGCAATGTTTTTTTTATGTACATCATAACAAGTAATGACATGATTTCCCCTGCAATCTGGTGTAGTAAGCACTTATAAATTTTTCAGAGTGCAAATTGCACTTGCCCTACGGGCTAGTGAAATTTTGTTGTCTTCGAAAAATATATACTCGTGCTTATTTACACCAAATTGCACTCGAAATCATGTCGTTTCCTAAACTTAACGAGGGTGGATGGCCCTCCCAAGACTTTATGGTCTTACATGAATTGG